AACATGACTCGGCCATGAGTGACCTGATGTTGTAAGGATGAAGGGAAGCGTTAAAATTTCTAACCAGAAGAGCAATATGCGTGAAACTAGATGGCATCTTTGAAAGACAACTCTTGTTCTGCAAGAAAGGGGAAAACCCAACAATCCGACCTGACATAGGATGCCAAAAGGGGTCCAAAACTAAAAAACAACTAATTGCACTTCGCATGAAAGTAAACCAGTGAAGGCATCATTCAGGCTGTAGGAAGTCAGAATATTGAGAAGACACTACACATACAGCAATGATCATAATTACTTTAATATACTATAATTCTGCTTACATTTTGGCTCTGCACATGATCGTTCGTCCATGTAAAGCAAAACAGTTTCTCGCAACCCCAGAACTCATCAATGTACAGAGCACTTAACTGTGCTTGATTCATACACAAAAAACAGTGAACCTTTGCTGCTAAAAAAAATGTCATCAGGATCATGTTCTTGCATAAATTAATCAGCATCTAGGGTTACACTGAAAGTGGCCTGTACCAAGGTTGATTCAGTCACTAGGTGTGCTGCAGTGCAATATATGAAGTTTGCTCAAGTGAAGTCGATCACAAACAAGGACGAAAATTTGAAAATCATAATGACCAATTCAGTGAGGAGTATAAAACTGCAGATAAAAAATTCCCACCTCAATATATTGAAGCATCAAATCTAGGCTCATAAAAGCACACCTGGCTGTTATATGACTGGAGAGCACATCCAGCAATCCACGACCAAACCTTCTTATCCACATCATACAACAGACCCTTCCCTTGGTTCCATGATGTGAAACAAATCAAATTATCCTGACCAAAGCACTCAAATCTCTCAGCTGATAACCTTAGCAGTGCCCTGAAATACTTTGGTGGCATTCTACTAATTTCTACCCACATGTTTTTGGTGTGATCCAACTCCCAAATTCTCATACTCTGAAGAGTGCTATAAAGGCCGATTCTTCCCACCAAAAACAACCGTTGTTGAGTGCCAGCCACTAAGTATCCGTCCAACAGAGAGCGTGGAAACTTAGCAGGAATATGCTCCCAATAACCTTTGTCAAGACTATACATCATCAAACCGAGAGGAGAGAGAGTCTCGAGATACAACCTAGAGTCACAATAGGCCATCTTTGAAGAGCATAGATTAACTGCAGGCATTATCTGGTGAACCAACCATCTGTCCAGCTTTGAATCATAAACTTCAGTTGGCAAAGATTTATCACCAAAGATATCACTGGTAGCTATAACTTTGAAGGACCTATCTGAACGATCCACAACCAATATCAACTGCCTTTGGTGATTATAATGCATGCTAGGCAGTGTCCTCCAAGTTTGAGTAAGTGGATTACATACCAGAGTTTTGAAAGCTAACCCATCCAGCCCGGAGAAGCAAACGAGCCCACCAGAAGAACCAACCAACCAAAATGCCCACTGTGGCAGAAATGTGAACGGAACTCGATACCAGGTTTTCAAAGGCAGACTGAAAACAGAACACTGTGGAGTCTGAGAGTTCTTCCAAAATGTAAGAAGACAAGGACCATGAGAAGGCACCTGGGAGTGAAATTTAAGAAAGCTATTGTCTTGAAGAATTGCATTCCAACGTTTGCAAACCGAACGAAGGCGAAAGATCATGAATGGGGGAACTCTAGCTAGAATCTCATTCAAAAGATCCTCAGGCAACATCGCCCATATGTTGTCCTCCATCTGAACATCACAATGAATAGATTTCCCAAACGTAGAAGCAGTCTCTTCATCCAAACCGCGAGGTTTGGTCTTCACTACTTTTTGCCTTGAAGGGCTTGTATTCCTCAGCCCTACACGACCCATGGGGCTAGTATTCCTCGACTCACATATCCTAATCGGTGAAGCTTGCCTGGGGCAACAACCTTCATCACGATACTCATAGGTTATTACAGATCTAGGACTAGCCATTGCAGACACAGATTCAGACGACCCTCCTCCGATCTCATCCATGTCTAGTGATAGAAACAACAACCCTAATCCAGCCAGCTTCCAAGTTCGTGTCTTTCGACTTTCAATTCTCAATCTCAAATAAATCCTCGATTCTTCCTAGGCTAATGCATCAGAAACATCGAATACTTTGCATATACAAAACGATGCTAACAGCGATCGCTTAACTAACAACAGAAACCCATTACTCCATTCGACCACACAAATTGAAGCGAATCCAACACCTAGCAAAGAAATTTGGCAAATCCATTTGGCTACCAAACGTACCGTGATAAGGAAAACCCAGAACCGAAAGTAGCTATCTTTGGAGCAGATGAAGAGAGAAGAAATTATGGGCAAGGAAAGAGATTGGGAATGGGAACTGGAAAATGGAAACGACGGAGGAAGGCTGCAAGGTCTGTTGAACAGAAGAGGAAATGGGTTGAGTTTACCCTTGGAAATTGGAATTCGAAGGAGTTATCCTGTTTTGTGGCAGGACTTGGGAACAGCTTGACAGAACTGCAGGGGAGTGAAATTCCTTCTGGCAAAGATGAAATAAACAAATGGCCAGCGAGAATAATTAAACCCAACCTAACCTCCCCTCCCTCCCTCTCTCTCAACGAGAAATTTTTTTAAGGAAGAAATTGGGTGTGTTCGTTATTTTTCAAACCATTTTTCCAACTAAAGGTCAAGTTTTGCTAAAACAAAATATGTTTGAAGAGAACATCCTTTAAGCTTCATATCGAAAGAATTTCTGTGGAAATGTATTCTGAATATCATTGTACGTATTGGCAACATTTGCAAAGAAAGGATGCATTTTTTTTTTTTTTATGCAACAAAGGATGCATTTTGGATGCGGAACAATGATTATACCTCAGTCGGTGAAGTTTTACATGGCCTCAATTTGACATGAAAAATAAGTGTATATTGGGCATTACAAATGAGTTTTGGTACAACAAATTCATTTGGTTTACATTTATATTGTTTTATATGAAATATTATTTGATATTCGTCTCACTCATGTCAATCAAAAAAATAACTATGTAATAATCTCATCAATTCAACTAAGCTCATATTTCACCATTATATTGCCGTACTTTTGCTAATCCATGTGCATGTTTACCATATTGGCTTTGTACAACATAGTTGGAGTCATTATCCGTCGCTAATGTTGAGAATCTTTATATACTGGCGCTAATAGATCATTTACATAGTTTCTGTTCTCCTTCCTTATACTGCAACATCATTAATTTCAATTTTGTGGTTAGTCTTGCTTTTAAAAACTTCATAAAAAGTTATTTGAGTTCGTCAAATTATCATATGAACCAAGATTAAGATGATGTATAAATATTGGTTATTCACTATCATCAACTATTATATATTGTCATTGACTGACTTTACTAGTTTGTTATGGACTCTTATTAATGTTTAAATTATAAATTACGAACCCATCCCACAACCATATCGACCTAAATATTATCAAAATTGATAAGTATTTCATATTCTCATGGTTGGTTTCAATTATATTTGATCTAAACCGAGCATCATTGATTAATTCGTTGAGAGGGTGAGATTCAACCTATCCAATCCCCATGTACACACCTATGACCTAGCTTTGAGTGTACACTATAACTTTCACCAAGGTTGAATTATGAAATATTCTAGTGATGAGACATTGAGGCTTATAGCTCTTAACACAGTGTAGGGTACACCATGAATGTTTGTGTAGCAAACTTTAAAGTGTGTTTTTGTTGCCATTGCCAATTTAGTTGTTATATTGTCACTTCCTTGTAAACAAATAAAGTGATCCTAGTATATTTGTACTATCAAGAAATTTTTCATGAGGTCTCATAAATTATTATCAACTCTCCCAAACTCATATTAAGGACATCTCGACCATTGAAATATCTTAAAATCTATTAAAAGGCTTTCAGAAATAAGCCCCGTCCACGTAAGCCTTGGAGGCTTCCCCGTTAATTTCGGTATGTGTCATTTTTTTATTATTTTTTAACTTTCCACGGCTGCTGCGTCGGTTAGTTTGGGAAAATTTAGCATTTTTAATTATTATTTTTAACTTCTAGAGGCGGTTGCGTCCCAACTCCTTTTCAAAACTCTTTTATGGTTATGATCAAATTTGAAAACATCATTTGTGACATATGACAGTCGATTAATAACTACGTTTTTTTTGGTGAAGGTAAGTAAAAATTCTTAAAGAAGCCATTTTTAAGGGAGTGGACAGGTTACAAAATTTCGACCTGCAAAAGCCGATCGTATTATTGTATATTGATATCTTGATATGATCATACGACGTATAATCGTGTTGTCTCATCGTATCACACATGTTATGGTACGATTGGGGTTTGCATGGTTTTGCAGGTCAGGGTTTTGTAGCGGAACCAAACCATTTTTTATCTGGGATGTTAAAAATGCTCTTTTTATAAAATATTTAGATATTTACTGATAATCAATACTTACAATATACATCATACCGTTTTATTTTAATAAACATATAATAGATTCCGTGATGCTTAAAGGATGTAATAATTTTCACCTTTATATGATATTTCACTTGAAATGATGCATACAAGTATTGTGAACGTTGTCTCCTTCAATTCAGTTGAATAGTTTGTGGGAAAATTTTCACTAAAGTAATATTATAATCGATAACAAATTGATTATTTAGATGATGCCACGTATATTCATAAGTTACGGAAATGAAAATTAAAATACTACCTGCCCAAAGGGCAGGGTGTAAGCTAGTTGTACCTAATATAACGATTTGCAATCATACACTTCTCTCTTTCTAGTGGCCTTCTAGTATTCCCTCAAAAAAAATAGTGGCCTTCTAGTAGAAGAACAAATTGTGTCCCCTTTACGATGGACCGTAATCCCGGTTTGTAATTATAGCCAGCAACGGCCCACGGGCCCTTTGCCAGCGAAAGCCCACAGCGCGAGAAGTGACTGAAATGATTTCCCGTTTTAATTAATTAAATAAATTTTCACCTTTTATTATATTTCCACTCTATGAACATTCGCCAATCGTCGCCAGTCAGTCGTCCCTGTCGCCGTCGCTCCTCGGTCGGATATCTCATAGCGCGCGCCTCCCTTTTATTTGTTTTCGTCTCTTCTGTTTCAATCCTTTTCCAGTCTCCCTCTTCTTCTTCAATTCTCCCTTTCGCCTTCCAATCTTGACCGTTTCAGAACAAAAACCCAACTCGCAGACCAGATGGCGAGTTAACGAATCGTCCCCGCCACAACAACACTGATCGCCGGTTCTCTCAGGTATGAATCGCCGGCTTCTCTCTCCCAGCTTTTTTTGAGAGACCCACTTGGCAATTACCACTTCTGGTTTCTGGGTTTCCATTAGTTTTTACAGAGACGACCCATCATCAATACGATTCCTGAATTAGGTGTTTACTTTTCCACCCAACCATCTGCGTCATCATAATGAAAATTGGAAACCCACTTGAATTAGGATTCTAGGTTGCCACTTGAATTAGTAGATGTAGATCTTGCGGAGCTGTGGCGATCATCTCAAGGAGAAGAGGAGTTTAAGCTCTCGCTTCGATCTGATCATCTTCTTGGGTTGATTACAGGAGGAGACTCGAGTAGCTGCTTTCTTCTTCAGAATCAAGTCCCAAGATGTGGTTACTGAGCAGCCGTAGCTCAACGAAGAATGGTATCTAAAGGGGACTTGATTGCTATTGGAGTGTCTGTAGGTTTGGGGCTTGGTGTAGTTATAGCAGTGCTTCTGTTCGTCCTCGTGAGGTGGCAGAAGAAGCGGGCTGACCTTCGTGGGCGAAGTTTAGCCAACGAGCAGCGGAGTCCAACTTCGTCTGCGCCCATACGTGTCAATGGTGTGGATGCGTCGACTGATTTCAGCGCCTCGATAACGATACGCGAGCCCCAGCTCGCTCACAAGGTTCCTAGCCCTCATTCGTCTTGGTGGGGTCGGCCCAGCAAAGACCATTTCGTATCGGCTTCTGGGGTGCTTCGATACTCTTACAAGTGAGTGTCACTTTGCAAAGTCTTATCCCACTCTCAGCAGTGGGAGATGGAGAATGCTATGATTTCGATGATTAATGTTGTTTTTTCGTTGCAGGGATATCCAGAAAGCGACGCAGAATTTCACGACGACAGTGGGGCAGGGTTCGTTCGGGGTGGTGTATAAGGCGGTCCTGAATTCTGGAGACACTTATGCTGTGAAAGTGCTTGCCTCGGATTCCAGGCAGGGGGAGAAGGAGTTCCAGACAGAGGTAGGCGAATGTGCTTGATTCGCAATGTATTTGTAAATTTGTTCATTACTTTCGTCAACATCACTCGCCCAAACACGACCCCTACTAAAACGAACTCGTAAACTAGAAGTCTTAAGATAGCAATTTACCTCGTGCTTCGGAAAATCTTGTGCTTAGCCGCGAGTTATTGAGCTTGGTTATCTTGCTTGCAGGTTTGTCTTCTTGGGAGGCTGCATCACCGAAATCTAGTGAATCTGATTGGATACTGTGTAGATAAGGGGCAACGAATGCTGATCTATGAGTTCATGAGTAATGGCAGCCTGGCAAACCTTCTATACAGTAAGGGCAAACTATGCTTCATATACAACTGATAAACACAGAATTGAAGCTTCAAGTCAGATTCTCGCATTCCTTGCGCTGTTGTTCACTTGAATTAACTGCTTCACAGATAATAACGAGATCGTTCTAAGTTGGGAAGACAGGGTCCAAATTGCTCTGGATATTTCACATGGCATTGAGTATCTTCATGAAGGGGTAAACTTCGTCATCTCTCTATTGTTCAATGAAGGAACTTGTTGGTTTCAGTGGTCCGTTCTCTTGAAACAGGCGGCCCCACCTGTTATACATCGAGATTTGAAGTCTGCTAACATATTGTTGGACCTATCAATGAGAGCTAAGGTAAGCAAAGTCCTCTACAACCGAGATTAAGAAGAGTGGCTAATCGCTATGGCTTGTATCTGTTACTCAGTGATATCTGCCTATTGCTATGTACTTGTGAATTTTAGGTGGCTGATTTCGGTTTGTCCAAGGAAGATGCATTTGACGAACGTAACTCCGGTCTCAAGGGAACTTATGGCTACATAGACCCGGTGTACATAGCAACAAACCGGTTCACTACGAAGAGCGACATCTACAGTTTTGGCGTTATCATCTTTGAACTTATTACCGGCATCCATCCCCATCAGAACCTTATGGAATACATCAATCTTGTAAGTCCTGCAAAAAAGCTTTCTTATGGATTCCCCTGAAGCTATATGGCTAACACCCTAAATTCTATGCTATTTATATTTTCTTGTCTCCCAAGGCTGGAATGAGTTCAGATGGGGTCGATGAAATAATCGACGGGAAACTGGTGGGTAAATGCGAGATTCAAGAAGTGAGGGAGCTAGCAAAAATTGGTCACAGATGCTTGCATAAATTCCAAAGAAAGCGGCCAACAATAGGTGAAGTTTCACAGGGAATATTGAAGATAAGACAACGTCGCCATGTCAGGCAAGATACCATGTCCACACAAGCAAGTTTCTCCAGAGTTCTAAGCAGGATACAGAGTCAACATATAGAATTGAGTAGAATAGCCAGCATGAAAGAGGATGCTCCATAATCTTACTTTTTTTTTTTTTTTTTTTTGTGTGGCTCTCTCCTTTTCTTCTTCCACTTCTTTACTGGCTTGCCCAATTTTTTGTGCTATTTCAAGGTCTCACTTATTTAGTTCCTAACTGAGACCAGATAGAGTATATACTATATCCTCAACTCCATTTTTGCTAACTCGTTGATAGTTTCATCGTGTTCAAATTTAAGAATACAAAATCTTTAGATCATTACAGTGACTTGATTCCGTTCTTTCAACCCTACAATTTGTTGGTTGCTGGAATAGATCACATCCAACAAATTGGTTCATATGAACATTGATACTTGTTCACCAAGGAACAATGACTCAGGAAATCTCTTAAGGTGGAATCTCTCTAACACAACGATTAAGGCTGATTGTCCTACTGTAACCAAATTGCCGTACTTCATTGCTACTCTTAACAACAGCACACGGCAAGGCATCATCAAGGACATATAATAATGGTATGCGCCAGAAGGAGCAGAACACAAAGAACACTACAGTTCCTGTGTTTTTTTCCATTTATTACTACAATCAGTAACATCTAAGCTGCTGCAAATTGATCATCCCTTACAAGGATTATTTACTCATTTGCAGCAAAAGAAAAAAACATCAGGAACCTTTCTATACATTATGTCTTATTAGTTCCTGTGTTTTCCACTTTTATTACAATCAAATGCCTAGAATAGCAGATTTGTAGCAGTCTAAGCAAAAAGCAGAACCAGAGAGTGGGGAAATAGTAAAAAAGGGGAAAGACAAAAAGAAGGTAAAAAATGCATATTTGATATAACACAGAGAGGAACAAAAAAGTAGTTCTCACCTCAGCAGCTTGTGATATACTTCCAGCTCAAAGGCTTGGAGATACTGCCAAGCTGCATATTCCGAAGCTGGGTCAAAACTGGCACGAGGTTCCTAACCTCTGTCTGTGGTTTCTCGGACCTTGCTTTCCTGCTGGTTCACGGTTTTCAAAAGCAGGGTACAGCAACTTCTGGAAAATGTCGAGAAACTGTGTCCACTCCCCTTCACTCAGCTCAGAAAGCTTCACAAAGCTGCAGCTCGAAGGAAGCTGTTCATTGACACTCCTGTTCCCAGACGATACCCCAGCCATACACCCGAGTTTCTCCATTGCAATCTCGCGCCTCCAGCTCTTCTCACCTAGACTCATGTTCTTTAACAACATCGACCTTTTAGCCAAGGTCGTAGTCATGGCTGCGATTTCACCAGCATCGGGGTCAGTATTAATATCTACAACTACAGTAGTAGTTAGCCCATCCTCCTCTCCCTCTTCAAGACTCTCCTCTAGCTTGGAAAGTAGGTTCCGGACGTTCCTGCACCCAAATGAAACCGTTCTTGAATCTTTATCCAACATTTTTAACGGGGGGCCATCTAGTTTGGCCTCACAGTCAATGTCAAATTGGAAATCCTCGTTACTATCTCCTGCATTCTTCACGTCAGAAGAAGGGGATGATGATCTTGACTCTTCTACTCGACTTCTTGCCTCCATGCATATGAGCTCAAACTCACTAGGTTCCTCTTCCGGACCGCAGAACTCCCTACTCATCATTTCTCCAATCTCCCCCAGGCACAGACCGAAACCTGCGGCTTGCTTCAGGAAAATTGTGCAAACGACTAGAATCCTGAGGCACGCCTCTCTAATCATCGGCAGCTCCCTCCTCAACATGTCAGCATCTCGACATGGGTCGAGACTGTTTATGTACTCGAGCTCGTCGTCGGAGAATGGTAATGAAGCTTGTGGCCAGTTTATCCACTCGAAATATGGGTTCTCCAAGTCTTCTGGAAGGCATAGTCCATGATCAATGGGGACAAGGTCAACTTGTCCAAACCTTCCAATCCCATCCAGCTTCCTAACCAGAAGATTCCCTGCATGCCTGTCGGTATTCAAGATTCTCACGTCTAAGATTCCTATCCTATGCACAGCAGCAACCGGGAAACTCGAAGTCCCATGGTCACTGGCATCAAAATCATGAGGTATGTACTTCTGAAGCGATGCAATCTTGCTAACCTGCTTCTTCGGGTGTCGATGTTGCTTGCCCTGATTCATTCCATCGTTGATGTTGAAAATAGAATGCGTCACCTTTACAAGGACTGTGGGAGGCACATTGGCAAAGTGATCACGATCGAGAAGGTAAGCTGCCACTTCTCTGAACCCCGTTTCACCAACCCGAACTGAACGTTTCAGGCCCGGCTGACCGAGGGCTTTCCCAACAAACCCTTTTGGGTTGTTGGGGGCATAAGGTTCTTCATCTGTGGGTTTCACAATGGCCATATTCTCATATTGGCAATTTTTGAAATAGTATGCACCTCCAAGGCCGCCATGAGTGGGGGTTGGATCGACACCGTTTCTCATTGCTTTTGTGATTTCCCTCACTAACGGCTTTACTACAGCAAAGTGATCTGAAAATCCAAGTATCTCAACTGGGCTGCTCTTGTCACTCTGCTGAAGATGATCCTTTGCACGTGGCAAAAGACATGGAGTCGATGAGCTTCTGTGCATGAAGTTCCTTGTGAGGAGAAGTGGAGAACAGTTTCTAACTTCACTCAGATCATTTTTCAGTATTACATCGCCAAATATCAAAGATCTCTCCTCGGTTGGGACGTTAAGGGCAAGCTGTAACTTCCTCTTCACAGTGTGGGCGTTGTCACTCCCATCTAATTCAATTCCCAAAACAAATCCTGTTTCAGTTTGTACGAATACACGCCGCCTCCTTGGAGAAGGTTTTCTCGCTTCAATTAGTTTACTTCCACCATACTCACTTGCTGGAAAGTGTCCTTTCAAAGTTGCAACTGCCATATCTCTCTATATGTAAAGATTTAGCTCGAGATCAGAAAACGTTGAAGAAGGTCAAAGAGAAGAAGCTGTACAATTCAGAGCCAGCAGCAGAGATGGCGGCGGCAGAGAGCTTTTCTCTCAAGCAGACACCATGCTTGAATGCCAGCAATAAACAACTAGAAACCTTTGTACCGGACATAACCATGATCAAAGTAGCTTGCCGAAATTTACTCTTGTAGTTATCAGGTTGGAATGGTTGCAGCTATGAAATAGATCTGGAGAAACTGCAATGCTGTTGGACAATCCATGCGGCAATCCTGGCTAATCAAATCAAACATGTTAAATGCCTATCAGAAGTATCACAAACCACACTGAAGAAGCTGGGCATAAAAAAAAAACTATGTCAAACAACCTAACTAGAGTGAACTTTGACATCCTTCCTCTACTCGATCAACCGTGAACCACATCCAAGGATATTAACTGCGACAGAGGCATAATGAATCCAATATCGATTCAAGAACATTGCCGAAACGCATCATCCATCAGTCACTGGATCCACAGAAATGCCTGCGTCCCAAGTTGATTGAACAAACAACGGACCGGGAAACAAAATGACGGTAATATTGTAGCACAAACATCGCATCAGAAAGAATTAACGAATAAAGCCATTCTACAAAGTCAGGAAAACAGTGAAGCGAGTAAACTTCAGCGATCCAGATGATGAGGACGATTCAAATCAATTACATCCGTCAGTACGCAAAGCACAAAATCCAAAACACCAATGACCTACTTCACACTCATCCATTCATTTCTTCTGATGAGATCAATCATTCATATTACAGTCATCGTACGCAAATAGCGAATTACCGGTGGAAGAACGAGCCAAACAAATTCAGAACTGACGCGGAACAGGCGTTCACAAAGATTTCCTCGTTTCCCGCCACAAAAAAATGCTCGAGAATTGGATCACAATCTCGTAAACGAAACGGTAGAAACAAACGAAGAGCGCGGCCGCGGATTCAGAACGAACAAATCAATTGATGGACGAGAGAGAGGTTCAGAGGCTCACCGGGGAACAGAAGAAGCGACATGATGACGGAGATTCGGAGCAGTGACGGCGGAGACGCGAGGGAGAGCAGCCACCGCCGTTAGGACGAGGGACGGAGGCGGAAGGGGGAAGGGAAACGGAAGCAGAAGCGGAAGCACAAATGGAGGAGGAGGGCGGGGGGCAACGCTGCTGGTGGAATGGGAAGGGGAACGAAGGAAGAAGAAATGCAATTTTGGTTTTAAGAATTAATTCCCCTCTTCTCTCGCAGTTTCACTCGCTTGTTTTCCCGCACCCTCCTTTCTTCTCCCGCTTCGGAGATCTTTTATCCCAACTTCCTTTTCCGGAGAAGCGGAGACCTCCCCCTAACGGAAATAACTCTTTCCCTTTTTTCTTTTATTAATTAATTTCGTATTTCTTTTCGTTTATATATGTTTCGTTTATTTTGGGATATGATAATTTTTTCCCACCCATTTTTTGCTAGTTATTTTGTCCATTCACAACAAATTTTTCAAGAGTATATTTCAACCAGAAGCCAGATTAGAGTAGAAATTGATTCGGGTGGTCGTTATTTCATTTTATGAGATTCATTCAAAATCTAACGGTAAATTTTAAAATCTCAAAATATGTTGAAGTTAAATAACACAAAATCGTATAGAAGAAGTTTTATTATGAATATCGATAACCTAGAGAGAAAAAAGATTATTTTCCACAAAATATTAACCAGATGTCTAGTATACCGTACAACGAGGTGCACAGTTCCCCTCTTTCTCTATGATTGCCTCCTTCGGTTGGAAGAATCCCCATAATCTACCAAACAAAAAAATTAAGCTTTGAGGGGAATATGAAACCCCCCACGGCCCCACACCTTCCAAAAATCCATATCGAAGAAAGAAACCTCATCCTTCCATCCCCACTTCCTCCAACTCAACTTATAGTCAAATGATAACCCGATTCAACCGTATAGACACCTGACTGTACCCGAATTCGAGGTAGTGGAATATTGCAGATGACTTTAATCACATCCTGCTGGAAAACATTGCTCTAAACTCTCCATACACCATTGCCCAGCCTCTGAGTTAACAAGATCTAACACCATTTTCCCCTCTAGGTTCGGCGTTGTAGGAAGAATCGAGATCCGATCCAGACTAAATCCTGGAATGTAATTGTCATTTAAAATTCGCACTTGCTCTTATCCTTCTATCTGCCAACGTCAGCCTTCAAGCAACAGGTCTCTCCCATGCATAATACTGACCCAACCCCATGATGGTCTCGAGTGGGCCTCGTTGTTAGCACACTGGAATGGGGGAGTATTTCCCTTTCAAAACCCGAGCCAAAAGAGGCCAAGGATCTATCCATAGGCGCCAAGAAACCTTTGCCTACATAACGTGATTAAGATTCTCAAATCGCTGAAAGCCCAAACCTACATCAAATTTACTACGACAGAGGTTCCTCTGGGAACCCCAATAAGCTTTATCACCCTCTACTGAAAACCCCCACCAGAAACGAGCCATATACTTATCCAACTTACGACACATAGTTAGAGGTAACAGAAATCAAGACATACCATGAATTGGCAGCACTGACTGAGGCAACTACAATGAGTAACGTCTCTTTTGCCGCACGGGACAAATGTCTCTGTTCCAACTAGGGATGGCAATGGGTCGGGTTTTGCCAAACCCAAACCCAAACCCATGGGTTTATTTTTGAAAAAAACCAGGGGTAAAACCCACTGGGTTTGAAAAACTCAAACCCAACCCAACCCGTTGGGTATCCGCGGGTTCATGGGTACCCACGGGTTTTGTCGTAAAAAATTTACAATTACAAGTTCTTATCAAAATTAAAGTCAAATATCAATCTCTCAATACAAATTATCCATATATAAAACACCATTCTAGAAAATTCAAGCAAATCACAAATAAACTATACAAATTGTTCAACACCAATCTAGAAAACTCAAGAAAATTGAAGCAAATCACAAATTATTTATAAATAACATGGCTTCTTCCTTTCAATTAAGTTTCTTTACTCTCCACTCCATAACATCAACTTCATTCTACACAATTAAAAAGAAAAAATTAGACATGTCTCCACAAACATAAATAAGATTAGTTGTTTAGAATATTAAATATACCGAAAATCCGACCCAACCCGATGAATAGTGAACGGGTTTAAACCCAAACCCGACCCAAAACCCGTCAACACGGATTTTACCCGCGTTGACCGGGTTGGGTCGGATGGGTACCCGTGGGTTCGGGTTTTGTTGCCATCCCTAGTTCCAACCTTGGAGTTTATCCAAGAGCTTCCCCTCCAAATACATAAAAGTTTCCATTTTAGAATAATGAATCAATGACGATAGTCCTACGTACTTATCCTGCACCCAAATAACTACTAACCAAAAACTGCATCATTTCCTGACATAGATGCTCCTTAATATTTCCACTAAAACAAATTGCCGACTTGTTCAAATTCACCTTCTGACCACTCAGCAATTAATACTCCTTCAACACTGATAACAAATTATCACATTCACTCCTCGAAACTCACAAAACAAATATGAATCATACGCAAAAAAAAAGCAACAAAAAAGTGACACCCGAAAAATGACTAATAATTTGATACATTAATACATTAAAAAAGAGTTGACTAATTTTAATAATTTTTTTGACTGCGACTAATTTTAATAATTCAATTGAGTTGATTAATAAAAAAATACAAAAAAATATTTGACTAAAAACTAGTGTTTACCTAAAATAAAATCACAGCCAAAAGCCCAAAAGTCGTACTAGTTTCTCTTCCCTACTCCGACCTCAGTGCTTCCCCCTATTTCCTCTGCTCCATCGAGTTAGGGTTTTGGGATCGATAATCCATCCACCTTACCTGATAAATCCCTCCTTTCTTAGGCGTCTCTGAGCATTCGACTCGCAACATCTAGTGGGCTGAAGCGCGATACAAGCGAAGCTACAGCAGAAGCTAACTGCGGCAAGCGGTGGTGGCTGTTTTCCATTACCGGTGCGAAGGCGCGAATTTATATTTCTTGATTGAAGTCTTCTTCTGTTTCTTCCTCTGGTAAGTCTCAGGCGATCATTGTAATAAGCTCTCGAAATTTTGCTATTTTCGAGCACTTGAAGACGGTGGTTTTTCTTTTATCTGAACACTGCCTTTGTATTTTTGAATTTTAATGGTTTCTGCTCGTCTCCTAAAATCATAGCCCTTTGAATGCGTATAAGCTCTGCGTTCGATTCTTGTACATTTTTAGCTGGTTAGGTCTGTTCGCGACTGTATTTATGGTACAGCTTCAGCTGTGCTCTCCTAATGCTGTTCTTGCTTGGTGTTATCTTATCTTATCTTATCTTTCAAAGGGTTGTTAGCTAGCAGGCATTATGCTGGAATTTCGGGCTGGTAAAATGCATTTGGAGGGCAAAAGGGTAGTCCCTGATACCCGGAAAGGGCTGGTTCGTATAGACAGGGTACGTTGCTCTTTGCTTTTTACTAATCTTCTGTTGAGCGAGCTGTGATGCGATAGTATAGTCTGTTCATTTTGCCATATGTTGATGTTGGTCTACTATGATGTGAACGGATACTCCTGGTGTGGGTTTATCGTCATTAAGCTTAATCATTGTTGAAGAATGACATGGAGTAAGATGCTGACAAGGCTTTTGTTAATCTGTTTCTGTTTTGGATTATCAGGGAGAAGAGGGATTGATCCATTTTCAGTGGCTTGATCGTACCCTTAATGCTGTTGAAGATGTATCCTGGCATTTTCATATGTCAATATGTTTTCTCTGTCCTGTCAAGTTTGGTTGTTTGGAGTTTAGTAATGAGGAGATATTAGTTTTAAGTGCTAGGTTCACTATTAGTGAAATTTAAACAATTATTTCTGGGTTGCTTGTTAAATTTCATTTATCTTCCACCCCAATGCAAAATATGATGCTTTTATTCCAGTCAGATATGGGGATTCCGTATCTGAGAAATATGCTGATTGCTTTCTACGGGAAAGATATTTCAGAAATGCTTTCCAAATTCAGTAGTGGCTCCTTTTGAATTTGAGTTCCTTTCACTTTGATGTCAAACATTGTTGACTGCAGTATTTGGCTGGATTGGACTGCGTGAAATGTAATCCCTCTTTCTTTTGCTGTATATGTGCTTTGTTCTGTAAGACTTATTATGGGACAGTTTTCGTACTTCATATCAGAAGCTAAACATAATCTGTATTGGCCTTTTCTCTTCTCTTTTTCTGGTATGTATGTTTTCCTTCAGGTTTCGTCTTTCTTTTAGGTTAGAAATTACTATTACCGCATTGCTTTACTCCAACTCTTGTCTTCGTTAAGGATTTGGAGTTATGTATTGGATGGACTCTTGAGAATGTAGTAGGTGTTGCCCCATGTTTCAATCTATGTGGTCCCTTTGTCTCTGGTCATAGTACTGCAATTCTGTTTTTCCCTGACATGTTTTAATAGGATCAGATAATTTTTCCAGAAGAGGCGGTTTTTGAGAAGGTATGTTCTTATCTGTCTTTCTTGTTCACGGCTGTTACTTAATATATTCAGAACTGATTGCGGTGTCATACTTTTGGTTGTAGGTCGGTCAAGCATCAGGAAGGGTCTACATCTTGAAGTTCAACACAGATGACCGGAAATTTTTCTTCTGGATGCAGGTCAGATTTTTTGGTTGTTCATTACCCCCCTCATATTCATAAGTGTCTGCTTTAGTCCCGAACCTTGATAGGTTGTTTTTATTGCTGCTTTGTAGGAATCTAATGCAGATGGAGATGAGGAGCTATGTGCCTCTGTCAACTACCACATCAATAGACCATTAGGTACTTTATGTTTAACATAATCATATCCTTTGAATGCCCATCAAGTGCTCATTTGGAGCCCTACCAAAACATCCCTATAAATAATGAAAGTCACTCCTAGCTAGCTTGTCACATGACCTAGTTTTCACTATTTATGATGGAATTGACAATGTCTTTGTCTCATTTTGATGTTTTATCCTCTTATATCCTTTTTCACTATTTCTGTTTTTACTTCCTTAATGGTTAAAGATGAGCATGTTTCGTGTTTTCACCCCTTTGTCCAACACTTTTCCAATTTGTATCCTTGGAAAACATGTCTGCTCTGCCTTCAGTGGATTTATTAATGATGATTCATTTTTGTATCTCTATATGCCAGAGATCCTGGAAGAAGAGCCAGATACTTCTGCTCTTCAAACGTCTGAGGAAATGGTTGAAGATGACATTTCGTCACGGTACGTACATCAGCCCTCAGTACCTGTACCTCTGTTTTAACCAAAAATGGTTATTAGATACATTTGTGGGTTGTGTATGCATATTTGGAGCGAGAGAGGAATGAGTCCTAACCTCTGAAATGCTTTTGCAAAGGAAGCATAGATCATGCATTGATATACATTGTAACCATACTTTGATTATGCTTCTGATTGGGAACTTCAAACAGAACTGTCCCTTTTTAACCGGATTCAGATACTTCTTACCTTCTGCAAGTTTCACTAGGAAAAAAGGGCATCCATACATTTGTGCCTGATCTTTAGAATTCATGGGATTATTTGAGAGTGGCAATGATCTGGGAAAAATATTCTAAGACTTCAATGGATGCTTTGATCTTATATTGTTATTTTTATGCAACTTCCAGAGCTGGAAACATCGTGCTTCCAAACCTAGGTTCAGGATCAATGAGTGATGTTACCTCTTCATCCGGACCAGTAAGATTGGAAGATTTACAACGAATATTGAGCAATATCGAACCTGGAGGTATTAATTCTGATTTACTTTGATAAATTTGCTTCATTTGTACATGTTCACCTCTAACGCATGTATTTTAAAAATTTGCAGAGAGTGCTGGTGATCCAGATGGAGGTAAATTTTTGCATACCCAGGCAGATAGTGCATTATTTATTGTGATGTGATACATGTTTCGGTGGTTCATATTTATGCTCTCTAATCTTCCCTTCACAACAGGCTTCTAGTTCGGTATAATCCAGCATCACTCTGGTTCTGCCGATTTATTCACCTTAATTGGTTTTTAATGAGTGATGAATATATAGTAGTTAAAGAAAGAAATTGAGGGAAGCCAGTAATGGTTATTAGTATTGACTTTGGTTCTCATCCTCAAGAACTGGGGGTCAGTATGCAATTGGAATCATGACAACTGGGCCTTCGCACTCTGGAGATAATGTTCAAAATTATTCTTCCTGCTTTGAATTAGATGAAGCTGAAATAGTTACACTGACTCTTTCTTCTTCCCCCTTGTGGTTTAGCATGTTGCTTTTGATGCAATGCCATATTAGGCATGTTTGGCTACATTAGCCTGTTTGGTTACCTCTTTGGTAGTTCTCCTGAAAGTATAATCAGTAATTTCCTCTTGAGATTTGTGGATTGTGTGACTGAAGTTAACTGATCTTAGCTCCCTCGGACAGCGAATGAATGTACATATGATTCTATGATCATCTGCTTTTGTTTTGTTAGGTTTTGGATTGGGGGATATCTTTAGGCCTGATCTAATAATGCCATTGATGGGTACATTGCCAGTAGAAGAACGATTGGCATCTTACCTACCAGAGGTACACAATTTTGGTTTTGTTTGACTTACCTCCTTTGTAAAGGGATGTGTTGAGATCATTTTACTGGATTCACAGGGTCCATGGACTCCAGAGGATATTCTAGAGTTGCTGCAGAGCCCACCTTTCCGTCAGCAAGTAGACTCTTTTACCTATGTAAAGACTCCAGGCCTACCATGTCCGTTCTTTCTTCTGTTGTATCATTCGTCAACTGATATTTCTATTTTTTTTATTTGTGTTTTTCTCTTTGAAGGTGTTGAAGACTGGGCAGATTGATCTATCTCAGTTTGGTGTTGATCCCAGTAAATGTAAGATCTATACATTTCCAAAATTGGATCATTCTGCACTTTTTCATGCATTTTATGACTTTCTTGTCCCATTATTATGGGAATTAATTTTTTTTGCTGGCTGTTGAATCCCATGGAAAAAATTCCAGTTCAATTATTGGGTCCATATTCTCGATGGTATAAAGGCTGATATGTTACTTCAGACCTGTTTGCATGAAAGTGTGATATGCTAAGATTCAGTTTGTCGTAACAATGTCAGAAGTGAATGGATTGTCATGAAGGAAGAATGGTATTGTTTTTCACCGCCTGGTATTTGGTTGCGGCCTCTGGACAGACTCTGTTTGATCCAACCAGTAGAAGACTTATTAGAGCAGTTTTATTGAAGGGAATGAGTGAATGAAACATACACAAAACTTTCTGAGGTTTATAGAGGGGAAATGGGTAAACACTGAGTTCAGAAACATTTCACATCGGTTAAGGTTGAAGTTAGAAGTTCCAGGGGCTTAATTGAGAAGTTAGATATTTGATCAACTAGAGAGGCGCCTTACCGCAGTATCAAATAGGCATCTCTAGCTCTGAGTTACATTTCACTGCTGTTGGAATCAGTTTTCCAGATGGTGTTTACTTTGACAATCTGTTACTTTTTTACCTGATATTTTTCCCCTTTGAAATGCTGCAGATCGATTCACAGTATCTTCTTTTCTCGAGGCTCTAGAAGATTCAGTAACAAAAGCAGAGGATTCAAGACCTGAGGAAAAGGACTTGAGATCAGAGTCTCGGAATGAACCCATGGACGAGAGTCGCTGAGACAGGAGTGCCCATGCCTGTGAAGAAAGTAAATTTCTGATTGTAGAAGATGGTAACAAAGGACTGGGCCGCTTAACTTGAGATCTTCCCTTGTAGCTTTGTTTTCCAATTTAGAAACATTTCATGAACCAAAACGTTCGAACAAGTCTTCTCTGTAATATCGTTACGCAACATTTTATTAGGCTGTTAGAACTTTGATGTCAAAGTGTATGCGCAATGCTACATTTTTTTTGTAAGGTTGCAGAGTGAATTGGCTATCTTGCATGAAAACTAATGGTTGGTTAGCACATTTGTGGAAGCATCTTATAGTTCAACACAGCTATTTCACTGGAGCAACCAGCCACAAGAGAGCCAAAATCTTCGCTAGCTATCGTTTTGCTCAACAAAATGAGAGTTCTGGTTATTCATCGACGAGAAGAAAAATAGAACAAAGCTTCATGGATTGGTCAATACAGCGAAAAACCTCCCGTGAACTGTGATTCTTACAAACGTACTCTGTTTTGAGGAACTGAGTAGAGGTACCACAGACAACAGCAGAAGAGGTAGATAACTAAAAATCATCCTCAACTTGTTTCTACAGGCCCCTAACAAAATTTGGACGCATATGCCTAACTCGAACCCCGGAGGGTAGGAATCAAAATCGTCATTAGCTGGTCTTGCGAAGAAGCTCCTCAGTTGGAACCTCGAGTGTTGCATCAGCATGTTCCTTGCTGGGCTTCACCTCTGCATATGTGGTTTTCACAGAAAGTCTTAAGTCTCAGCATATATAATTATGACGATTGCCCTTAAAGGATAAAAATGTTTCTAGAAACCAGGTTTCCAATCCTGAACGGAAAGATTAACCAAATCAACTCATTTTCTATTACTTGTGAAGAGGGTTTTGGCCAAATTATGGCCCCCATCTTTCAGCCCAGGCAGAAGGTGTGTAGGCTGTTGGAATCAGTGGGCACTCGCCCAGAGCCGTTGGATGGGGTCGGTGTCACGTTCGTAATTGATAGCTCTGGGGGCATGCGCCTGTCAATCCAGCAGCCCACGCACCTTCTGTGAGGGCAGAAGGACGAGGCCACTTTGACCTCTAGCATAATTCTTTTGCTGCCTCACAGGTAGAGCAGTAGTTATCCCCACTGATCTTTCTGCAGGTCATTTCTGTTCAAGGTTTCTAGCCTAGTATGATCATGACAATTTTAGTCCTTTTCAGTCACGCAACAGATTTCTCCAAGAACAACTTAGATCAAGATGTTTGAGTGCCTCCTTGATGGAGGCTACCTCATGAACGATGGAGAACCTTTCCCAAGCAACAAAACTAAAAAAAGAAAATGATGGTAAAAGGAAACTGGTCCAAGAACTGTGGATAAATATAGATTAAGAGCATTCACATACCATAGCCACCCCGTTCGTTCAATTTAGCTTGAACAATCATGGTTGATATGAAATGGGAAGCTTCATTTGCCTCTTCAAGGAGCCTTCTGATTTCAGCCTCAGAGGTAACTTGACGATTCTCATCAAATTTCTTCCTGATCTCCATTGCCGAACCATTCAACATCAACTGGTCACCAGCAAATGATTTACGAGTAGCTCTCAGCAGAGATTTGTAGGCAGTTAGTACTTCTGTGCGCAGCATCTTCTGAGCCTGTTTTGCTGATGCTTGTATCAAGGTTTGAATAACCTGATCAAACCAACAAGAGAATGGAAAGAACCTGCAAAAGGAACGGTTAGTCCAAATAAATCAACTGATTAGAAAATGAATCACGTGTAAGTGACACATAGACTTTGCTCTAGGCAGGAGCAACGACACAGTGAAGTTTGGTTTTACATGATAAAGGCAGAGTAGAAAGATTTCGAAGAGAACGTATAGTACTCCATTTCCCCACAGATTGCTAACCACATAGACTTTGCTCTAGGCAGGAGCAACGACACAGTGAAGTTTGGTTTTACATGATAAAGGCAGAGTAGAAAGAGTTCGAAGAGAACGTATAGTACTCCATTTCCCCACAGATTGCTAACCATTTTCTGATCTTTCTCCACCCAATAACTACAGAAGCTTTGGCCATCAAACAACTTATTGGAACTAACTAAGCAGAAAAAGTTTGAAGAGAATGTACAGAACTCCATATTTCCATATATTGCTAACCATTTTTGGATCTTTCTCCACCCAATAACTGCTGAAGCCATGGCCATCAAACAAATTCACAGAACAAACCACTCCATTGTATATTCAAAATGAGAAGAGATCCATTCTTTCTCCACCCAATAACTACTGAAGCCATGGCCATCAAACAAATTCACGGAACAAACCACTCCATTGTATATTCAAAATGAGAAGAGATCCATTCTAATCCCAAGCATGCCCCCTCATAAACTTCACAAGCAACCAAGTGTTGCACCGGTTCGAAACTGAAAGAGAACTGCTTTAGCCGGAATCCAAACATACTACCAAAAGCCTACTAAGCTCAGTTTGAGAACTGTATCTAAGACCATCAAAGAACATTCATTTCAATTTCAGAGTTAATTTCCGCGCAACGACAACGAAAAGTACCCAAATCAAGCGACAGAGCTCAGATGTTAATAAGAATATGCTCACCTCAGCATGCCTAGTAAACCAATGAACAAGGAAAAAATGAGCCCTTTAGCAAATTAGGATACAAAGGTCTTAACACATTCTATATGGGCTAGAAATAAACACCCAGAAGAAGAAGAAAACTTAGAACTAACACCAAGACATGAAATTCATCTGCCAAAGTAACCTGAAATGCGAATACAAAACTGCATACAAGAAGCAATCAAACCAAGAATTCAATCTCATTCACCGCATCAGAAACTCTTCCGCTGGACCCTAACTACCTAAGCTTGGCTGAAGGTATCAATTCTACAGCAATAACCCCTAAAACCAATCTTAGTGTGGGGGATCAAATCTGGAACGAAGCTTATTCACAGAGAGATCCACAGCACTGAAAATTTCCCGTCCTTTACCAATCACGAAATTACCCACAGAAAAAGAGAGAGAGACTTACTTCGCCGGCGTTAGGGGATGTAGAAGAAAGCAGCGGCGGCCGGCAGGTGATGCTATACTGTTATGTGATCAGCCTGAGAGCTTTTTTCTCTTCTCTTTGCGAGCTTCCCTCTGCGAAATTCCCCTCGTTCAGTCCACGAGACTCCGTTACGGGGCCGGGCCGGGCCGGAGTTGAACCGACCCGTCAATACTCATTCGATTTCCATAATTGCCCTTACTTTTGTTTCTGCCTTGCAAGTTTGATCAGTGATCACCGTAATTATTAAAAAAAAATTGTTTATTAGTAAGATTATTTTCTCATTTATGGTGACTGAAATTAGTTTTATAGTCCAAATTTGGTCAAAATGACATACAATATACTTACCGTTATTTGAGCTACAAAGACCAGAATCCTCTAGAATCTACCAAGCCACTTTAGCAATCAAAACTTGGTTAAAGTGTTCAAAACGACATAACCTTTTTGCTTACTAAGATACTACGAGCGATGCACCACGGAACTCAATGCATGCAATCAGGGGTGGATCTAGTAAGGAATGACACACCCTTGCCCGAAAATTTTGTGAATTACATATATATTTTTGACACAATTTTTTTTTTAATTCGTGACTTCCAACACACCTCAAATAATATTGAGAGACACACCTTCATAATAAGAGAATGATTTTTTTGTTATAAAGTTATTTATCTTAATTAGTAATAAACAAGAATAAGTCCTTTTAACCAACCCCTCGGAAATAGACACGAGCCTCATATATAGTCTTGGTGTTATAAAGGCTTCTGTCTCTCCACGTCGCAAACCAATATTGGCGTGCAGTTGGACGTCCTGTTCTCTAATTAACTCACTGTCTCTTTTTTGAAATTACTTAATTGTTTGGTTTTCGATCGAAACAAAAAGCAAAGCAAACTAGCTTAAACATGCATAAGAATAGCCCGTAGCTGCTGCCAGGCCAGGTGGCGCTTCCTGATTGGGCTACCGTTAATTTCATTTTATAATTACTAATCACAATGACGGAGGAACGGAACGGTAAGACTTCCGTTATTTCCATTTCTCATTGGGATTAACGGTAAGGTGCAGCAACTCCCAAATATCATACAGCACTCAACCTTTTGATTTAACTCTTTTTTTGCAAGGAGGAAAGTGATGACTTTTGATATTAGATTTGAAGTTTCAAGAACATAATTTTAAATGAATTAATTCTTGTACAAAGAGATAAATCATTCACGATAAAAAAAAATGTATGATAATATGAGCATACTTTTCGATGGTGGAATACATAGTTAAAAAATGTATGGCTCAAGATATATTCAAATAGATATTATCTCAAATTACATTCTTTTAGCGAATTTGAGATTTTTATTAATCTTTTGTATTAAAATGGTGAGAAATTTATCAAGTTTTAATGTAACTTTACCTATATTTCACAGTTGATGGGTGCTACAACCCCTCCTGGTAGGGCTGATAATAGATTCGGTTCGGTTATAACCAACACCGTTTAATCGGTTCTCGGTTAACCGTTAAGCACTTTAAACTTATTGTTAACCGTACCGTTTAAATTAGTCGGTTAATCGTAATCGTATAGTCGGTTCTCGATTATTTTGTCGGTTAACTGGATAACCGTTAACTAAGTGATTCGGCAAGGTTATACCAAAATAACCGATCGATAACCTAACCAACAAAAGACCTCCTTTTTTCAATTGTATATCTTTTGTAATTTTTCATACATAGGCATGTGTCCTTTTCTTAAGTTGTTGTCGTTGAATAAAAAATAATTTAACATAGATGTATATCAATACATAATCAACTCAATGCAACACAAGTACACAATAATCGGTTATCGGTAATAACCGTTAAGCCCCAGTTCCAATTTGATTATCAGTTACACCGTTAACAGAATAACCGTTTACCAGCCCTACCTCCTAGTTTCAACATAGCTCCTCCATCGCATGGTGTTATGCATGATAAATAAATATACTAAACACAATTATTATATTTCACCATCGTTTACCATAAGTTACCATCCTATATAAGGCAAATATATTTGGTCCTAAATTTTTTGGAAAATTTGTAAATCACAATAGGTCACTCGTTCATTATGTGTAAAATTTTAGCTAAAAATGAAAGTGGTACTAAGTGGTTCAGGGTGGTAAGAAATCGTTTTTCTTGAAATTATGTTCATGAAACTCCAAATCTAATATCAAAAGTCATCACTTTCCTTCTTGCAATAAAAGACTTAAATCAAAAGGTTGATTAAAAAGTAACTAAGGCTAGCTGTGATATTTGGGAGTCTTGTGCCGTTCCGTTCCTCCGTTATTGTAATTAGTAATTAAAAAATAAAATTAATGATAGCCCAATCAGGAAGCGCCACCTGGCCTGGCACGGGCTGCAACCCGGGTTGCTGCCAAGTATTGCCCATAAGAATAGTGTCTAACTAGCTATACGGTGACAAGGAGAGGATATTTTCATTCAAAAAGAAATTTTATGACTGAAGCTTACTAAATCCACTTTCTACATATATATTACACTTTCTCAATTTTCATATAACCCTTCACTAAAACTTTATCCCGAATATCTTATCTCCGAATTGTCTCATAATTCATTTGTACCGTCACAATATTCCTCTAATTATTTTCCAACTTTTTTTTTTTTAGTCTCAACATTGATATGTATGGACTGATCAATTGAGTGGTATTGTAATTGTTGACATTTTCTATTTAGTATTATAAAATATTATAATTTATTTTATTTTTATTTTGATGGGGAACGAAACATCACAATCTCTCGTCAACTACTGCACTTAAAGCCCCATACCGTAATTTATTGTGTGACCACCACCACCACCTCGTCCCTTCCCCCGCCGGTCAAAGAAACCGGAGCCATACCCTGTCCAATCTCCCGCCCGTATTCCTTCCTACACATGCATGTACGTATAAATAAATGACGAATACGATGGATATGAGAGTACGTGGAAGAAAAGAATGTTGCGGTTGGCCAACTTGCATTATTAATGTTGCAGAACTGAACTGTATTTTATTTATGACGATCGATCGAGGAGGATACCTACGCCTTGTCGATCTCTGCTCGGAAAGAAAGAAGCTAAGTGTACATATATATATATATATATATATATATATATATATATATATATATATATATATATATTCATTCATGCTACTTTATAGAGTACTGTAACGCGCTTCTTGGAGCTAGCTAGCTAGTACTGGAGAACAATGGAGATTGGTATTGACAAACCAATACAACTGGTAAATAATGGAGATCAAAGATGGAAGGACGAAAGAGAGGTACAGCAGCCGCTGCAGGAAGTGGTGCTTACGAAGCCGCTGATGGTGGCGGATCGGGCCGCCGGAGATCACTCCGACGACGACGACGTTGAATACAGGACTCCCAACCTCGTCCAACGCGTGTTGAGCCTCTTCAAAAACGTCCGCCCTGGCTCGGATCTCACCACCTTCCAGGCAAGTAACTAATTATATATGAATGAGTTTGTACAAACTGCAAGCTCGTGGGTTGGATCGTTATTTGATCAGAGGGCCGACGTGGTGAGAAAGTAGTATAAGATTTATATACCGGTTCTCTCGTTAACTCGCGAGTTGTTGATTTATTTAAAGAAGTGGTATAAGATCTATCTGATATGACGGGTTAGGTCCGTGCAAATTTTCAAATTCACGGTCGTTTGAGATGGCGTATGTATAAGGAAGTGATATAAGATTCAAACCATAAGTCTTTCTCATTATAACTCGAGTTATTCTTGATACCAATTAGTTTATAAAAAAAAAAAAACGGTCTGTATGAAAGTGCAGCTGCCGCCGTCGTTCAACTACCCAAAGTCGCAGCTGCAGGCGTACGGGGAAATGGTGTACTGCGCCGGGAAGGACATTCTGTCGGATTGCAGCAGCACCAAGTGCGACCCGTTGGAGCGGTTCACCCGGGTGGTCGGGTGGAGCATCTCCACGAACCGACCCGGCATCATCGGGCTGGTGCCGTACAACCCGGTCCTCGGGGAGACCCACCACGTGTCCTCCCGTTCACTCAACGTCCGCCTGGAGCAGGTCTCCCACCGCCCTCCGCTCACCGCACTCCACGCCACCGACTACCGCCACGGCGTCGACATGCTCTGGTTCCAACGCCCCGTTCCTAAATTCCAAGGTAATTATTAACGTACCGAACTAATTATGTTTTTTTTTTTTGCCTTTTTTTATCATTGAGATTTCATTTGGGGTGGCCTAACATTTGACACGTTCAAAGTTTTGGGACCAAACAATCAGCTAAAAAAAAGGGGTACATTTTCGGTTTGATTCAAGCGTCTGATCTATTTATTGAGATTTCAATTGGGCAAGCTGGTCAACCCGCGGGTTGACCTGGACCCGGTGGAGGTAGTGGGTGAAGGGTTAATGCAGGGTCACCCGTTTTAGTTAGTCCGGAAATATGGAAAGAGTCATTATATTGTACTTATCCTGATAAATTATATCAAATCTCATCTAACATATGGGTTATAACATATAATATTTCACCAAAATAACATGTCGTACTTAGATCCAACGTATATTGAAAATTCACACACACTTATATAACATATATATTCAAATGTTCAACTCAGGATTCCAAAGATGGAGTTAGGCGAAAAGAAAAATCGAAAAATAGGCGCATTTCGCAAACCAAAGAAAAAATTACACAATTTGACCTCCAACTCGATACCTTATAGCAATCAACCCGATGAAAGCGTGCGGCCCGTTTTTCTCACCAAACCAGGATCAAAGTAGGTCAACCCGCAGGTTGACAACCTTGCAATCGGTACAACGTACAAAATTCTACAACCATATATGTCCCATTACTTAAATTGACTTTAATATACCACAACAGTTTCCAACCATCGGTAGTTTGACGTTTACAACCCCTTCGATTTCCACATAATTTCACGTGGTGTGTTTCAAGATGTTTCTTTTTCAAGAAAAAGTCTTGTTGTACCATTACTATCATTAAGAAATTGTCCGTTTTGGACCTACTCTCACGCGTGATTTTGTTTTTGGATACATAATGATGATTTTTCAAAATATCACTCATTATTGTACTGCTCCATACGAAGCAGGTTTAATTAATTTATAATTAATAGAAGAACTTATCTATCACAGTCCAAAATGCATCTTGTTAGTTAATGTTGTAAGTTAGTTTCTTATAAATCATAGATCTCTCTCTAGCAATTTATCGATATGGAATTTACGCAACGTGTTAACAGTAACAGTGTGCTCCGTAAAATAAAAAAATAAAAAATCGGTATCATTACTAAGGTAGTAAGGTTCGTCAAAAATGTCCTAACAAGATAACTCGCCCCATCGTCGTACCTAATTAAATTCGCTCGATTTTCACTACTAGTCGAGTTGCTAGTAAAGAGCATATATTTGCGAATAACGAATTAATTCATGGATTTATTGAATTGCGAAATTATTTTTGGAACTTTGCCCTTAGGAACAAGGGTGGAAGTGGAAGTGCAAGGGAAGAGGACACTGAAGCTTGTGGAGCACGGCGAAACTTACGTCATGAATTCCCCAAACATGACGCTCAGGTTCATCCCGCCGGCCGTCGACTGGACCGGGACCGTCAAAGTCAGCTGCCGGGAGACCGGCTACGAAGCCGAACTGAACTACTCCACCTCTTCCTTCTTCGGACGGCGGTCCAGTGCCAAACATTCCGTCACCGGCAAGATCTACAAGACGACGCCGCCGCCGGCTGCTTCTCCTACCCCCGGCAATAATTATAAATTACTCTACACTTTGCGTGGACACTGGAGCAGGTAAATATAACCAATCTCGTCCTGCAAAATTTTCCACTTGAGAATTGAACTAGTATCTGATTGCCGGTTTTTACCGATTCTGGTTAATTACCTACAATTAATTACTGCATGCAGCACCGTGAAAATCAGGGACCCGAATGGCGGAGGGGAGCGGGTTATTTACAATGCTAAAGAAGTGGCCTCCAAGTTAAAAGCCCCAATTCTCAAAGATCCACAGGTAACTCTTAACTTTTGGCCCTTAAATTATTTCTGACCTAATTCACTCGATTAAATTAAATGTAAATCTATCTCCATCTCACGCGAACAAGGGATTGGTCCAGAGATATCTAGGGGTAGAAATGAGTTTTCGATTTTTCTGGTTTAATCAGAAAATCAGACAGTACAACCTGACCCGCGGTTGGAATCGGATTCGTATCTAAAAACAATCCAATTTGATTTTCGATCGCTGGCAGCAGTAATAAAACCTGCGCGCTCGATTCGATCCGAACTCCCTCAACCCAACCCATTTTTCCAGGTCGGTCGAGCCCCACTCATTCTCCCTCATTTCTCTAGCGGACCACTCTGATGCGCGATTAAAATCGTTTACGATATGAAAGTTTTCCATTCGGGTTAATCCGATTCGGTTTAAGCATAGCCTGCATAATGTTTGTGTGTGCAGAGTGTTCTACCGAGCGAATCGGCATTGGTGTGGAGCGAAGTAAGCAGAGGGATACTGAGCAGAGACTGGGAGAAAGCCAAAGAAGCCAAGAGAGCTGTGGAGGAGAAACAGAGAGACATGGCCAAAGCTAGGAGGTCAAGAGGGGAGGTCTGGGTTCCAAAGTATTTCACTCCCTCCTCCAATGGTGGTGATGACGACCCTTATGAATACTCACCCATTGAAACACTGGTTCCACCAGCTCCCATTGTTGTTCCCTTCTAGCTAGCTAGCTAAGCTAAGCCTTTGGTGGAAAACAAACTTTGTTAGATTTTGGAAGAAAAAAAAAACATATGCACAATCATATTTGTGTAATTATTATTGTCGCGCGCACACTGATTGACGAGTCACTAGTTTCCCCACGTTTACAAACAGGACGACGACACGAGCGGAAAATTACTTTTTGTTGGGTAAATAGGCCGTTTACTGAATTTTACGGGAAAAAAAAAGTTACACTTGGTTCACATATACTTCTTCTATATGGCACAAATTACAAGTGGGATGGAAGTTTCAACGCTTCTGCTGGAGAGGCAATAATACTCGATTGCGATACTCTCCCAATGCCCAAACTGGAAATATATTTTGATACGCCGAGTAATTGATCGTGCAGTTCTTGTTAAACACTCCCACGATTTCCTAACAGGTTAAAAGAAGTAGAAGTTTTTTTTTTTAATGTAACTATTTATTTAAAGTAAACATATGTTGTTCACTATAAATTAAACTAGAAAGACATAAATTTAGGGTTTTGTTCAATTTTTTTTTTATTAAATGGAAATTGATTTGAACATTTACCTGCTGTGGGAAGTCTCCATTCTCCATAGCTGAATCAATCAAGAACTTTGCAGCTCGATGTAGTGGGCTTGGATCTCGTTGGGCCTGATCCAATCGAAAAAAGCAAATGAGTCCAGAAGGCATTATCTAAAAGTCCAACACTTCTTAACAAACCCTAAAACATTTTTGTACCTGTCCAGCTTCAATGAGGCCCAACATGGCCCATGAAGTGTTCACTAGATGTGATTTCCCACCTTCCAAGTTTGTGTAAACCTAATTAACCAACAAAAACATTATTATGTTCAGTGTTGGAAAGAGTACCCTACGCTACAAAGAGGGAGTAGGGCTTACCTTAGTCTGAGAAGAAAGGTAGCTCTCTCCCCAGCCTCCAGAGGGGAGTTGCTTGGATAGCAAGAAATCGCAGGCTTTCTTGATGGAGGGGCAACTCTGGTAGGTCAACCCTCCAGCCACTAGCCCAGTTATCCCAAACCATGTCCCGTATGTGAAGCAAACTCCCCATGAACCATACCTGCATTTGTTATATTTACAAGTTGCAACAATAAGAGTGACAATACTCTTTTCTTTCTTTCTTCTACTCCCTCTTGGGTGGGATTGGGTCGAGAACAATAGTGTGCGTACCAGGAGCCGTCGGAGAGTTGTATGGTCTGAATGAAGTGGAGCGCTTTACGGGCACATGTTTGGATTTCTTTCTTTCTGTGGTCCGGATATACTTTCGATAGCGCTTTCAGTCCTTGCATTGCCGATGAAGTGCATTCCACGTACCTTTATCAAACCGACTCACGCATAAATGTGTAATCACATCGACATTTGAAAGGCAGCAGGAGACATTTTGGGAGGGCGATCTTACTGATAATCTATCATAATGTCCCCAAACATTTCGGAAGGATTGAGGGCCTGTATGTACGTAAGTCACGTTGTAAGTTATCAGAACGCAAACAATCCAACAACTACAAAATAACACCAAGAACGAAAAATGACAAATAACGCCAAGAAAACCCTAAAAAGTGTACTCAAACAATCCGACAACTACAAAAAAAAAATACGACAAAACGCAGTAAATAGTCTAAATAAAAAATGATATCGAAACCAGATTTCTATCGACGGATTAAACGAAATAGATTGTTAAAATCAATTACCTCAAACCATTGGTAAGATCTTGTAAGCTCGTAGGAAGCAAACCCTCCATTTTCATTCTGTATGGTAAACCCAAAAGAGATCATCACTCTTCTTCAGTGGGTGAAACATTAAAGGTTCTTAAAAACAACAAGAGATTTTACATACTTATCAAAACACCAATTCAACCTCGAGGGATTGGCCTAATGCGAACGATATCATTCACCATATGTTATACTTAAAACATTAAGATCAACAATTATCTAAAACGAAAAAGCTCGATCTCAGCCAACGACGGAGTACCTGCAAGGATAGGATGAAATTACCACAATCGAACAATCGGCTAACTGGAATTGGATCTCCTACGGTTCCCACTGGCATCTGAGATAGCAATACTGCAGTCTGCAGAAACGTAATTAAAATGAGCCACAACATGATATAATGTATTCTTAAGATAAGCAATTGCACGAGTACTGTAATAATATGTGTGTACCTTTAAGCCTTCTGCAGAAGTATCTACGGCAGCCCAACCATTATCTAGGGTGGAGAATGGCCATCCTCCTTTCGAGCCATGGCGATACCATTGCTTAGGATCACCCCAGCAGTCCTCTCTAATCTTTAATTTTTTAACTATATATGAATCAGATTTGCTGAAGATGGAAACAAGTGAAAAAAATGTGTATCTATGTGGTATAAGATTCGTTATTGACAAGGTATAAGAGCCTTCTGTGATCGCGAGAAGTCTTCTGTTCAAATCGTGGCAAACTCTATTTGAGTTATTTAAGAGGGTACTGATCAAGAGTTTCGAGCCTGTAATCTCCTAAGTTGAAGACGAACGATAGAACCGCTAGATCAAGCCCTTATTCGCTTAAGTGTACAAAACCATTACCATCATATAGCTTCCATAAAACTGTGTAACCGTATAATGCCATAAACTCTACGAGTCTAGACTACTAAAACGCTAAATTCTAAAACCCTTGAACCCTCGTTATACGAACACCAGAATCCTAAATTCTTAAAATTGTAATACCCAAAAATGTTGAACAACCTAAAACACGAAACCCTCTAAATAACACCCAAAATCCTAATTAAACCCTAATCCTTGAACCCCCTAAAACACACCCAAAATCTTGAACCATGCTCTCCTTAAACGCCCTAGACACTAAGACCATAAACCTTGAATCGCTTTGATAAAACTTAACCCTAGACTCATTAAACCCTAACTTGTAAATCCTAAGCCATAGTACCCAAAACCCTAAAAACTGAAGCCTAACCCCTTAAAACAAATTTGTTTATTAAAATAAGTTCAAAAATAGCTGGTGGTTGGACCAGAAAAAATCTCTTACTGGAAGTAAAACCTGTAGGCAGTAATGCCAGGAAAAAAAAACATTTACCACAGTTTTTAGCATAAAATATCCCTATCGCGCTGACTTTTTCGATTCAACATCCGGTACGGTATTTCAGTCCTTGCTTAGAACGTAACTAGTGTGTTGAAACTAATCTTGTGGCTTAAATGTGTTTAGGGGTTAAGTTTCAGGTTTTGCTTTGAATCAATAACCCTTTTTGTCCTTTGGGAAATCTGATAAAAAATTGTGATCAACCTGAAACCGTCACCAAACCTCAGGTAAGATTAATTAATTAATTACTACATAATCGTGGTTCGACAAAAATAGCTAATCATGTGGCTTGGCGATATGCAAGAAATCAAGCAAATCAATAATGTTACCTGTGTTCTTTTGATGAAGTCGTGTGCCTTCTTGAGCATCGAAGCACAAAAATCCTCTTCCCAGAGATTGGTTGCAAGAATTGATTGGACAGCAAACGACACATCCCACATTTGAGAACCGTTGTGGCCCTGTGTGTATTGATTTGTATCAAGACCTCTCATACTAACTGTATACCACCTTCCGGATGTAATAGCGTATTAAGGTGGTACGATTCGTATCATGATCGTTTGTAAGATACACGACTCGTGCAGGTTTGGCTGGTTGTTAATTATTGTATACATATATCACGAACGGATCGGGACAATATCAACAATACAAGAAAGACAACTAATGCAGTGAGAACTCCATAACTTCTATAGTCGGACGACGGATTACCCGATTCAACTCATATCAAACATACCTTGTTGACAGGACCAAGACAAACGTAGTTGGTGTTTTGATCCTCGTAATGGATGTGTTGCATGCAAGTTTTTAGGGCAGATTCCCTGAGCTTGGAGATCGGCCATGTCGACATTAGAGGCTCCCAAACCTTGTCGAGGCCAGCCCACAACAAGTCTTGCAGAAATGGATGTGGATAGTACAGATCCTCCTGCACATTAGTTTATATCGTCTCTTCTTAGTTTCTAACTTTAATTATCTTCAATTAGGAGAGTGTAACACATTTTTAATGAAGAATCCCCTGTTTAAACTTGGTTGTGCCTGAACTTGGAACATGATTGCATGCTAGTATTTTTGTTGACATTAGATTAATAATTAATGATTTGTAACGTATTATATTAATGCATGTCTTCTTTAATGAATATATTGACTGTTTGTCAAACTTACGGTATTTCAGAAGCAGACTCTTGTTTAGTTTAAAATCTCGTCAACTCCTTAAATTTGTCTACTTGTCCATCAACGTCACCTAACAATCCTCGTACAAGTATATGCATGCAATGCCGGAATAAAAAAAACTGAACGAGGGAGCTAAAAATTTACGTTCAGAGAATTTGAACTGACGTGAGGAGGAACTAAAGCCTTACCAACTGTTATATTTCTTAAATTGATTACCAAATTTACATGATTTTGAGTGTTGAGGGGAGCTATATATAGCCTCCCCTGAGTTTAACGTCGCTCCTCCACTGAGTACATGTCTGAGTGGACGTGGCCGATCATTCTTTTTCATCATCGATAAAGTTACATGGATGGGTTAACTATTTCGAGTTCAAATGATCATCCATACATAAGGAAACTTAGATTAAAAAAAAAAACGTACCTTGGCACAAAGATTTCTAGTGAGATTCCAATTAATGTTGCGATATGGAAGCACATACAACTCTTCTCGAAGGCTTACTACCAGAGGATTCACTGTTCCCACGAATCTTTTCCCGTACAAATACGACATTGGCAGATACACCATCCGAGAATGACACCACATTCTTCCTGAGAATTCAATGGGAGGTTTTAACGAAAAAACTCATCAGGTCAAATTAATATCATTACATGAATACTAAATAAGAAAAATGGTTCCACGTTTTATTTTGTTAATTCAAATAATATTGTTTTTTTTTTCTCCAGCAATTTTACGTACCTGGATGTATTGGCAGAGTATAAGGAAAAACCCAAAGCTCTGGGGGCAGTGGATTAACCCCAGTCCATTCGTAAACTCCAAGAACCTGTACAAACACTCGCAAATAATCATTCATGAATAAAGACCATAAGAAAGAAAAATTCAATGTGAAGATTAACGAACCGACGAGAACTCAATTTCAATTCTGTGACTAAATCATTTTCACAGCATGATCATTTCGCGTTAAAAATCCAGACATCGATCCAACCGTCCAATTCAAATCGACCCAACGCGTGGTCTCAATTTTCATGACTGATCAATTTGGTTATAGCTAGAACTAATTTTGTTTTAATGATGATAACATAAATAAGAAAGGTGGCATGGCAAAACAATTCGATCGTACCGAAAGCCAGAGCTTGCCCCAAGACGGGATGTAAACGGCACCGCCGTGATCGAGGATCCATGCTCGCGCTTTCTCCATCGCTCCATCTCCTCCGTCCATTTCTTCGCCCATCAATCTGAGCGCCACGTACGATAGCACGGTGCAGAACATTACGCTGCTCCCTTCTATATGCAATCCCCACCCTCCATCCTCGTTCTAATTTCATGGAAAATTCATTAAATTCTTTTTCAATATTGCCCCTCCAAGATTTGTTAATTAATTAACTAACTAATTGCTGAAGTCAATTATTAATTTTTTTTTTTATAGCTTTTCCCGCTTCTCTGGTACAGTTTGAAGTAGGAGAGATTGCGGTATCACCCCTAAAGGACCCGGTCCATTGTCCAGCATTAGAAAAAGATGGTCAGCAGCAGAAGCCGCAGAAGAAGAAGGGCTAAGGCAGGGATGCCCTTTGTCCCCCTACATGTTTGCCATCTGATATGATCCCAAATGGTCCATTGTACACGTTTAATTTACTTGACGAAGAAGCTATCGAAGTTGGGAAGAAGAAGGGCAGAATTTGGCTAAGTCAAAATTCGTGTTCAGGATACATACTTTAGAGGCATGGTTCTCTCAATTGGCTCGGTGGAAATTCAAGTTTAAAGGTTTGTTTTGTAGATAAAGTTTCCATGTTTCCAATGGTATTCTTTTTGGATCCATATAATGTCATTAAGGTTGTTTTCCAAGGCCTCAAAGTTGCTACCTCAAAACTGGAAAACTGCCAGAAAATGTCAAAGTACCAACTTTGAAGGCCTATATCTGGAGTTTGGAGAATGATCTCGAGCTGTTTCAAGTTGGAGGTGAAAGAGGGAGTTTTCTTCTACAGAGGAAAGGAATTGGTTGAGTTCGAATCAACTTGGAAGACTTTGATCGAGGGGCTCAAAGATGGCATCAAAGTTGTTTGGTTACTTGGAGTTAAAGGCAGATTTTCCTTTTCTTGTTTAGTTAGGATTTCATTGTTTTGGTAGTTTTTGATTCCTTTTCGTATTAGACTGTAATTAGGAGTTTATGGGACGTGTGTAACCCTAGCTAGGCCTATTTAAGCTTTCTATTTCGTTGTAAAACTCAGACTTTGATTAATCGAATTGAGAACCTTTTGGTTTTTGTGCAAGTTGCGACTTGTGTTGAGTTTGGTGGATTCCAAGCTCGTGAGCTCTTGTATCGATTGAATAGTCACTTCAATCGTGGTCGGGCATCTACCTTTTAATCCAATTGAGCGTTCCCCAGGTGTGGAATCGTCCTTTTGGTTCCATTTTATCCAAGTTCGTATTAAGAACGCGTTGTTCTTGATTCGAGCTCAATCGATTCTTCGATTGAGTCGTTAGCTGCGTGACTTTGATAACATACACCCCCAGGGGCGTATTAAGTAGATGGATGGGGTAAGGTATTAGTCCAGCTGACACATAATTTAAATGTGGAAATTTGTCCTCTAAAAAAGGAAATATTGAATGAATTGATCGTAAATTTTGGGATTTGACTACTTCTAACCTTTCTAAAGCGGATACTAATCGTAGAGAAAATGGAATTTCGATAATAACTGCAAGTCCCTCTGGTATTGAGTTGTATGTTATATCGAGAAGCAGATAGATCCTTTCAACCTTTTCATCCCCAATGCAGTAGAATAAAACTCACTCATCTATGTTTTGCTGACAATCTGTTACTCTTTTACCAAAGGGTCAGTGGAAGGGGTGGGGGTAGTAGCTGAGATACTCCGGAAGTTCTATCTAATTTCAGGGCTCAAGCGTAATCCGAGTAAGAGTGAGATATTCAGTGCAGGGGTGTCAGAGGGATTAAAGGCTGAGCTAGCGAGAGTTTGTGGTTTTAAGGAAGGAAACTTACCTGTAAGATACCTAGGACTTCCCCTGAATGCATGCAGGGGAGCTTTCGACTGAAGATTGTAAAAGCTTTAACTAATAGAATTGCTGGAAGAATCCAAGGATGGCAGCCGAAGCTCTTATCCTATGCGGGGAAGCTAGAATTGGTTATATATCAGTACTAGCCAGTATGACTCTGTACTGGATGGGTGTGATTTTGCTGCCTAAGAAAGTAATCAAAGAGATAGAAAGGCTCTGACTCTCAGTTTCTCTGGAGTGACTTAGAGAAGAAGGAAAATGCAAGGGTATCTTGGAAAATGGTGGCTCTACCCCCATGCTGAAGCTGGTCTGGGGTTTAAAGACCTTTGTCCTTGGAATAAAGCGTGTTTAGCACGACACCTGTGGGGAATTCTTTATGATAAGAAAACTCTCTGGATCGCATGGTTAAAGGAGTACAGACTTCGAAATCTTAGCATTTGGGGAAGTGCAGATCAGAGGCTCTTGGATTTGGAACAAACTCCTAAAGCTTCGAAATACATTTGTAGGAAAATTGTGCATAACAGATCAGGGAGTGGAATGGGAGGGAGTTGAAATGGCCAGATTTCAAACCAGCAAGGTGTTCTGATTTTACAGTTTCGGAATGAAAAACTGTCATCCCGTTTAATCGAATTGGGATTGTAGAGCATAAGACCACTAGGGGAGCCGGTGACATGGGCAAAGTTGACTTGGAAAGGAGGTATACCTAAAAATTCGCTACTAGCATGGCTTATTCTGTTTGGGGAGAATCACAACACTCGGACAAAATTCAGCGTTGGATTGCAGAGGCGAATGCAACCTGTCCACTATGTAGGCTGGAAGCTGAATCCAGAGACCATATTTTCTTTCAGTGTGTTTATATGCAGGATGTATATAGATTGTGTACAAATCTTAGTAATAACAGATGCAAAGAATGTAAGTAGCAGCAGTTAGGATTCTCTAGCTATTTTGAAGAAAGAATGTTTGTAAATGTTAGACTGCACGTGTAACGATTGTATAGATTAATTTATTATGTATAAGCCTACCTCGCAAAACACGCTACGAGGTTAGTTAATTACCTGGTGATTAAACAAGTACCGACGCAGCTCGATTCCATGTTCCTGGTCATGAGCTAACACCGAAGACAAGCCACCCGACGTCACATACAAGCTAATTACCTGTCCCGACACACAGATAATTAAAGAACCCCTATTAATTAATTAATTAATTCACTAGGTAAACAAATTCCACTAGCCAAACATACGCTAGTTTGGTGGAACGATAAGGGTTAGGGTGCATAATCATATTTGTCTCCTTAATTTTGAGTGGAGTTAGATCAGAAGAGTGATATTAAAAATCTTTCTTATTTTTCAATCGACTCGTACCTTCTTTTAGCCAATATACCACTCTATACCACAATAGTAAATGTTGGAGATGGTAGTGGAAGGTGGTAGAAATAGAATGTAGATGGTGATTAGTATATTTCTACTGTCACGTATACAACCATTTTACATTATGATACATTCATACTACCACTGTATACTCTTATTATTTACTATCAAACTTTACCGCTATGTATATATACAATAATACAATGGTAAAATATGCCTTAGTTTTTTTTTTTTTTTTTTGTGTTCCAAATCCAAACTATTTATCTTTGGATGTCAGTTTCGAAGAACATGGTAAATTTTATTTCATTATTTGCAAACCAATTTGAATTCTAAATTAAAACAAAAAAAAAATGATTACCTTTTAGTAAATAAAAAAAATATTATTAGTGAATGAGTAATCATTGATTATTGTTGACGAGATATCCTGATACAGATCATCGTGTGTTTGATATGCAGAGTAACATAAGAAAAATCGAAAACATTACATTTTTTTTTATTCTTAATTTCCATTTCGTGACCTGGACTACAAAGGTCTTGTATGTTTTTCGTACTTACATTATTCTTTTTTATACCTATGGCAACGTACCAAGCCGGGAAGCAGGAACAGAGGACCGCCATAGTCGCCAGGCCAGAAGCCCGAGCTGTGTTGCAGAGTTGAGTGGAACTGTAACCCCTTTCTCACCACGCTCCTCACTCTTCCTTCATCCAATATCTCTTCTTCTTCTTCTTCTTCTTCTTCTTCTTCTTCTTCTTCTTCTTCTTCTTCTTCTTCTTCTTCTTCTTCTTCTTCTTCTTCTTCTTCTTCTTCTTCTTCTTCTTCTTCTTCTTCTTCTTCTTCTTCTTCTTCTTCTTCTTCTTCTTCTTCTTCTTCACTCTTTACTTTCGTCACTACTCCTCTCCCTTCATCATCGATTTCCCTGCAGCAGATTCCATTCTCCCTTGCGAACTGGTTATTTTAAAACGAATTAGAGAGACGGGAATTAATTATGTGTAAAAACATAATTAAGTAAGAGAGAACTAATTATGTATACGAACCTGGAGTCGCATGAGAAGGTCGGAGCTCTGTTTGGCTCCTAAACGGCGGCGGTTCTGAGTGAACTGACGTCGAGCCTCAACAACTTTAGCCCTGTCGCCGGCGAGGTCTGGAACGAATTCCCAGAACTGCCTTCCGACATGGTTGTTGTATGATTTCAGCAATAATGGATCATCTTCTTCCCCTTCTGAAAGCTTCAGTCTCCACATTGTTTTGACCGGTAAGTAAAAACTAGCTAGCAGTCTAGCACTATGGTTTTAACTATACGCTCGTATCATATTTATGATCCATTGCTATATATAATATATATAGTACACTCTGACAATAACTACTTTAAATTGTTAAAAGAAATTCAATTAGAGAGGGAAAAGCTCCACAAATTTGGACGGTTTGGAAATTCGATCCATTGGTGACTTGGTGTTAATGTTTGCAAATATGATTTAGGTTTAGGTATGCTTTTTTTCCCTTCTTATTAATTTGTCTTTTTATATTAATTCTTATTTGGTGTCACCACCATAATAATACTTTGGGGAATGACTATGGTTAGGGGTGTTCAAATGGTTACCATGGTAATTACTAAACCAGACAAGTCTAAAATATATAAACCATGAAATACAATATCATAACCAAACTGTCATACAACAACAATCAAATCAACCAAACTAAAGTTTAATCGGATTGGTTAATTGGTTAACCAGAATAACCAATATAACATCACAATATCATTAAGTGAGAAAATCTTCGTTTAATGCATCAATTCGCAATTTATATAATGAATAAAACATAACAATCAACACATAGTTATAGTTATAACTCTCAACATAAATACTTGTAACTAATGCAATTATCCTTACTGTCAATAGAAGTATTTACATAACAAAAATATATGTCAATGGTATGAGGTTAATGAACTGTTGTATTTCGTAAATTGACCTATTCTCTTAGCGATTATCATAGGCAGAAAAAGACATTCATTTCAAGTTTTCATCCAACATATTGTATGAGTCTTGTCTAAATTAGAAGTTCATATGTTGTTGTCTACACTCTACAAATGCAAATATACAGTATAGAAACAATATTGAACATGATTTTTAATGAGTTTAAGAGGGAGGAACGTTTGACACTTGAGTGGTTAACTGGTTATGCAAAGTATTAAGTATGTGTATATAATATTTATGAGATATATGATTAATTACTTAACTGGTTAATATGGTTTGATTGGTTAGGAATGTCTGAGACTAAACCAAACCAAATAGTTATCCAAATTAATCAAACCAAATTATCCGAATACTACCAGTTAAAATGGTTACCACGGTTACCACACTGTTTGAACACCCTACCTATGGTGACTTGTAAGTCACCGTAAGTTGGAGAAAACGGTCAACCTCTTCCACAAAGTGGTCTACCACTTGAGTCAACCGGTCTACCACTTTCGGAAATGGGTTGGCTTGATAACAGACTTACCTTGAAGTGGTCGACCTCTTCCACCAAGTGGTCTACCACTTGAGTCAACTGGTCTACCACTTCTGGAAATGGGTCGACCTGATAACACAATTAGTGGTCGACCTCTTCCACCAAGTGGCCGACCACTTTCCAAGAAAATGGTTTACCACTTCCACCAAGCGGTCTACCACTTCAGGCAACCGACCTACCGCTTCTAGCAATGGGTCGACTTGTGAAACACTTACCTTTAACTTGCACATGCTTGTTGGAGGAGGTAGACCGCTTTCGTCAAAACATCCTACCAATTTCGCAAAATGGTTTTTTATATCCAACGCAAGCCCAAAGGGCATGGGACAAATACTTGACACAATTACAAGACCGACTCAAACCCAACGCGTTAGTCCGTATGCAACAAGACTACGATGAAAGAGCCTGTAAAGCCACTACTTGTGTAGCTCTGAAGAAGCTTCGAGGAGCAAATACACGACACTAATGGTAAAAAAAAAAAAACCTAAACCCAACATCTCAAAGATAGTTCCACTAGCTTGTGTAGTTTCCTTTGACGGAGTATGCCAGATGACCAGAATCGAGTTGCCATAAAAAACCACAACAAAGAAAAGAAAAGGAAATTAACAATCTTCCACAAAGAAAATGACATTAGCAATCTTCAACAAAGCATGCTTAATTACTTTCATAAATTCATAAAAGCGAATACAATCAAACTATCACCTAATAGACCGATGAAACTTGTTTCACTTCCTTCAATTATTGTCATATCAATATGAGCACTTGATCGTTGTACGGAATTGTTGACATTTTCTTGATTTATCTTCATAACACCATTGGAATGGATTATTACTACCCTGCAAACCAACGTACCAAAAAGACACCACTATGGTGGTAGAAGATATTAGAGTTTGCTTTCGAGGTATAGTCGGTATCACCGAATGTACAACACCAACAATAGGTGTGATTCATCTCCAAAAAGAGAATACAACACCGAATGTACAACACCTCAAAATGGTTTACGTACCTCTTTCGGCCAACGACCTTAGCTTTTGGCGAACGGTCGACCAGATGACACAGTTACCTTATACTTACATTAGGAAAACAACAGTATAAAATTGTTTTGTAGTAATGCAACATGGGCAACCAAATCCAACACAGATTATAGGCCAAGAAAAAAAAAACACCATCTTTTAACTTTTCTGGAATAAAAACCCACAAAATCGATGATATGAGATTTATGGACGTTGAAGATGACACAATTGTATAACAAATATACTCTACTTTTTGAGCATCTTCATAACAACAATAGCAACAAAGTTGATCCATCACAAGACAACTATAGGATAGAAACAATAAAACTTAGAATTTGAAAGAAAGATGAAAGTCTCTATAAAGTAAGTCAATTATAAAAATAAATATGCAAAACATTTTTCAAATCTACGGGAGAACAATCACTCGAGAAACTTGACATCTATGTCTGCAGCGTTTGTACTAATTTTAAATCTCTTACTAGCAAGCATATCTATTATTATTGGACTCTAATTACATATGATGATATCACTAGCAATGGTTCATCAGGTGGACCAATTATTTAAAGAGGTGGACCACTTGCGGAAAGAGGTAGACCACTTGATAGAAGTGGTGAATCATTTTTTTGAATAGTGCTGAGACGACCTTTTAGTGGAAGAGGTTGACCGTTTGTTGAACATAGCAAAATGGAAAATAGTACATTTGGTCGACCATTCGTACCACCCATAACCACTAGTTACCACTTTGGTGCACCTAGTAATACTTTGTAACACCTTCGTTTTAAATCAAATTTTAAAAAATACTTAATAGAATGAATGAATTCATCATGATATATTGTGATCTACAAAATTTTGGGGAAAAATTCACTACCAAATATATCATTGTGGTATAGAGTGGTAACTAATGGAGACAATGATGAAAGGTGGTAAATGATGGTTATTATATTTCTACTATCATGTATACAATCATTCTACACTAAAATATATTTATACCACAGTGGTACACTTTCATATCACTATTGTATAATCTTATGTACTACAAAGCACTGCCACCAAGGTATAGATTGGTAATATATGCCTCAATTTTTTTCTTGTTTCAAAATGAATATCATTCTGAAGAACGCAATTAATATGAATTTTCTTTTTATGTGAAAAAATGAATTTCGAATTGAATGAAATATATAGCTCATTAAATTTAAATAATAAAAAAAGTTATGCATATTCACTAACATATTGACTCGATTCATTCCGAACAAATTAAATTTTATCAAAACAGAAAAATTTATGCCATAAATGTCCCCTCCAAAAGTTTCCATAATAATGGGCACATAAATTTATATAATACATATACGTTATACGTAGATCATATATAAACATGGTTGGAGTTTCAATGCTTCTGCAGAGGCAACGATACCCGATTGTGATACTCTCCGAGCGCCCAGATCGGAAATATGTTTCGATATGTCGAATAACTGATCATGACATTCTTGTTAAATACTCCTATGATTTCCTGATACGTGGAAAAAGTGGAAACATTTTTAGTATACAAACTTCATTAAATAAAACATGTAATTAATAAAAAATAAAAGGACATGACAATCGGAGTTTTATTTCATTTATTTTAATCTCAAAATTTGATTTGAGCATTTTACCTGCTGTGGGAAGTCTCCATTCTCCATTGCTGAATGAACCAGGAACTTCGCAGCTCGATGTAGTGGGCTGGGATCCCGTTCGGCCTGTCCAGCTTCAATGAGGCCCAACATGGCCCACGAAGTGTTCACTAAATGTGACCTCCCACCTTCCAAGTTTGTGTAAACCTAATTAAGTAATTAACCAAAGAAACTTTTTTATTTTATTAGTGTGTTTCATGACATTTTAATAAGAAAATTCAGTACTTGAAGATTGGAGTGTACCCCAAGCTACCTTAGTTTGAGAAGAAAGGTAGCTCTCTCCCCAGCCTCCAGAAGGGAGTTGCTTGGATAGCAAGAAATCGCAGGCTTTCTTGATGGAGGGGCAACTCTGGTAGGTCAACCCTCCAGCCACAAGCCCTGTTATCCCAAACCATGTCCCATATGTGAAGCAAACTCCCCAAGACCCATACCTGAAATATTGTTATGTACAAGTTAGTAATTAGAGCGACAATCCTTCTTTTCGGGGTGGGATTGTGGGTTCGAGATAATACTGCACATACCAGGAGCCGTCGGGGAGTTGTATGGTTTGAATGAAGTGAAGGGCTTTAACAATACACGCTCGAATCTCTTTCTCTCTGTGTCCTGGATGAGCTGTTGTGAACGCTTTCAGTCCTTGAATTGCCGACGAAGTGCATTCCACGTACCTAACATCAAATTTATACGATGAGAAGAACAAATCGTTTGAACGAGTGTTGTTCAATCATTGATATGGCTTTGAATCGAGGAGTGGTGATGGTATGTAGTCTTACTGATAATCTATCATGATATCTCCAAACATCTCGGAAGGGTTGAGGGCCTGAATGCGGATTATTGTATAAGGGATCAGCTGGTTCTTGACAAAGTGACGATCAAAGGAAAGTAAAGTCAAAGAGTGAAAATTAATTACCTCTAACCATTGGTAAGATCTTGTAAGCTCGTATGAAGCAAACCCTCCATTTTCATTCTGGAAAGATAGAATGCAATTAACAGAATCGAACAATTGGTTTACTGGAAGACGATCTCCTACAACTTCTGCTGGCATCTGAGACAGAATCATAGCAGCCTGCAGTAAAAAATTATGATTAAAATTAGCTGTGACACACGTAAAAAGTTTAAAATAATAGTGACATTTTCAACTATAAGAGTTTTATGTACATTTTTAGGGTTTTATACGTACACATATATACTTATGTTTTTATGAACAAAGTAAATATATTCAATATTTACCTTTAGGCCTTCTGCAGAAGTGTCTGAGATCCATTATCTGGAGTGGAGAAAGGCCATCCACCTTTTCGACCATGACGATACCATTGCTTTAGATCGCCTGAAGGATCCTCTCTAATCTTTAATTTTCAAGCAATTCGTATTGTTATTTACATAACAAAAAAAAAAAATATTCGTATTAGGTCAAAGTTAACGGAAAGTATGAACTAAAATCTTATACAAAACTCATATATACAAAATTTATAAAGTTATGTGTCTTATCACTCCTGATAAGATCTGTATCGGAGATGTTAGAACACGAGTTTTGTAGATATGTATAGTACCAAGTCCATGCCGAAAAAATATTAATGAATGAACAGCTAGAGCCTAGAGCTATACATGTAGCTGGCTCCTGACTAAGATTTTTATACATTTCTATACTTTAAATAATTGGTCATTTAATTTGGATTTCTTACTATGGTAAGTATGAAAGCATATTCATGGAAGTATTACCTGTGTGTTTTTTATGAAGTTGTGTGCCTTCTTGAGCATTGAAGCACAGAATTCCTCTTCCCGGAGATTCGTTGAGAGAATCGATTGGATCGCAAACGAGACATCCCACAGTTGAGAACCGTTGTAGCCCTGTGTATGAAGATGGAAACAAAATAATATCAATCCTGTAACTGGGCTAAAAGGGGTATATGATCGTTAATCCAAAGCTTATGATGATATTGTTGGATCAAACTTTCGATCGTTTGCTATGCGTGATAACTCGATCTATACTTTTAAAATTACCATTGCGAGTAATAAGAGACATGTAAGATTAGACGCAGATGTGCAATTCAATGTCGTACTTAGTACGTGCTCTTTCACCCTCCTACCAAAATTCAAAATATACATAATATCGAGATGAATTGATCGACTTTTTACGACGAAACTATATTATTAATTAGTTAATTACCTGCATTTTCATGCCATCTTCAGCTACCCAGAGGTAATCTTTGATTCTGGGCAGATGGCTCTTGAATGCTTCTGAATTCGGATCCTCCACCCAACAACACAACATGTTCAAGACCTATTTCCCCGATCGAAACACGCCAGAAAGAGAAACAAGCTTTAAGCTTCAATTTGCATCAATGGACATATATGGCTTATGTTGTAATTTGCTAAGTATATGTGCTTAATTTACTTAAACAACAAGAAGAAAAAGTACCTTGTTGACAGAACCAAGACAAACATAGTTGGTGTTTTTATCCTCGTAATGGATGTGTTGCATGCAAGTTTGTAGGGCAGATTCCCTGAGCTTGGAGATCGGCCATGTCGACATTAGAGGCTCCCAAACCTTGTCAAGGCCAGCCCACAACAAGTCTTGCAGGAATGGGTGTGGATAGTACAGATCCTCCTGCACCGATCGCCCACGAAAAAAATAAAACTGACACACTGATTTACGTCTTTCACTGTCAGACAAGCGCGAGACCCTCGTGCGTACTACTGATCCCAAATCAGATATAAACAGATTCATCTTCGTATGCGTATGTATACTCTCGTTACTCTCCCGAACAATCAGAAGAAAGAAGCGAATAAAAGTGTGTACGTAGGTATGTTATATAGGTACCTTAGCACAGAGGTTTCTGGTGAGGCCCCAATGAATGCTGGGATACGGAAGCACGTACAATTCTTGTCGGAGACTGAGCACCAAAGGGGTTGTCTTTCCCACGAATCTTTTACCATACAAGTACGACATTGGTAGGTACACCATTCGAGAATGACACCACATCCTTCCTGGATAAAAAAAATGAACGGTTTTGTATTAAAATCTCGAACGTTGAGTCCATCTGATGAGTTAAAATTTAGGTTCGTAGTTCAAGCATTGACTACGATGTTTGTTCTTCTCGAAACATTTCCTAAAATGGTCAACGAACTTTGAGATCAACAACAATTGTTTCCCTAAACTTTCAATTTTCAACAAATTTATGATTGAAATTACCGGGATGCATGGGGAGAGAGTAAGGAAACAACCAAAGTTCGGGGGGCAATGGATTCACCCCACTCCACTCGTAAACCCCAAGAACCTACAGTAAATGCGAATAATAATTATTATGATGATATTAGGAACTAATAATAATAATTATTATTATGGTGGGGAATAATCGGGTGTTTACCGAAAGCCAGAGCTTGCCCCAAGACGGGATGTAGATGGCGCCACCGTGATCGACGATCCACGATCTCGCCTTCTCCATCGCTCCATCTCCACCGTCCATCTCCTCGCCCATCAATCTGAGCGCCACGTACGATAGCGCGGTGCAGAACATAATGCTGCTCCCTTCTATATGCAATCCCCACCCTCCATCCTCGTTCTTTTCATGAAAATTACAGTAATAATTTCCATTCCCCCAATGATCACAATTAGTCATTAATTAATTAATTAGCTAATACTTGATTGAATTCTTTTTTTTTAAAAAAAAATTAGCATGTTACTGAAAGAAAGGAAAAGTCTATCCCGAGATTCCTTGGTACCTGGTGGTTGTACAAATACCGACGCAACTCCACTCGATGCTGGTGAGTTAAAATTGCATTCAACCCGCCCGTAACGTACAAGCTAATTACCTGTGTAATAATTTTTTTTATAATGAAACATTAGTACCAAAAATGTCAAAATATTCAGACTGATTCGAGGTTTAAGATGCAATTTGAATCCATAAATCTAAGAATTTAATTAATTCGATCTATTTATCACGTACGGACTAAGTAACCCAATTAATTAGATTAGTCCGGCAACAGGGGTAAATTAATAAGCCACTTAATTGATGGCTTGCTTCATAATATCTTGACGGGGACCTCCTACGGTAACTTGGGTATAATTTCAAGTTAGGTAACTTGTATAGATCTAAACCATTAAAATCTATCAAACTTAATTTAAACCATTGATTAAAGAAATAAAAAATAAAAAAATAAGTAAGAAAATAAAAGGCAACAGGGGTTGCCGGTCACCACTACACAACTTACCATTCTTATTTTTTTTCGTTTCCATTTCAAATTTAGTTGTTTTCCATATTTTATTCATTCCTTTTTTAATTCTTATTGAATTAGAAGTGTTACGTAAGGCTTCCGTAATAACTTAGATCTTTACGTAACATGACGTTAATGCTCATTACGTAAAGAGACCTTCCATTACGTAAGGCTTTCGTAAAGATATTTTACAACTGTTACGTAAAATACACATTCACTACGTAAAGGTTACGGAATGATAGTTATTTCTTACGTAACAGTTAAATCGGAAGCGTTACGTAAGGCTTCCGTAATGATTAGCACTTTACGTAACGCAAGGTTAATACTCATTACGTAAAAAGACCTTCCATTACGTAAAGGTTACGTTACGACAGTTATTTCTTACGTAACAGTTAAATCAGTAGCGTTACGTAAGGCTTCCGTAATGACTTAGCATTTTACGTAACGCGAGGTTAATACTCATTACGTAAAGACACATTCTATTACGTTAGGCTTCCGTAATGATCTTTTACAACTGTTACGTAAGATTATCATATATTACGTAACCATTACGTAATGCCTATTGTATTTTACGTAATATGACCTGTGAAACCTGCTATAACATGTAAAAAAATTCAAGTTACCCTACTTCAAGTTATGGTAGGAAATTCCTCGTAAGCACAAGAATAATCATCCAATATTAAGGATACATATAATCGCCTAAAATGTGATTATCGTCGGATGGCCGCCACCAGTCTTCATTTCGTACAATTAATTATATATTATAAGGTTGATCGATAAATTATTGTGTTAATTAAGCGGCAGAGATTAAGAGACGAACGATGGATAATCGACCAAAATGTGGTTTTCATTTTCTAGCTATTGAACTTGGCGGTACTTGTGAAAAGAAAAGAATCTTTTGTGTTTTAACTTTTAATCCACGTCGTTTGTCTTTGCTCTCGACCAACCGGTTTTTGTTTATATCCCTTACAACACTACAATAATAATTTGATATGTAGGAAGGTTGTGCATTGCTATATTAAAAATGAGAATATTTGAGTTCTAACATCATAATCATTTGATCAAATATCTATAAGACTAGACCGTGAACGCTACACTCGAATTAAAATTATAAAATTTATTTGCTTCGTATTATAAAGTTTGTTCTCAAAATAAGTAGTGAATCTAAAACGGTTAAACCAACTATATACGCAATTCGATATGAACTTTAATAATATCGAAACAAATAAATGAAATGGGAAATTTTTCCCCCCAATATAAAACTCAAAAAAAGAAAATATATAATAGACAATATTAGGTACTTATAGAGATTTGATCTACTAAAATGATTCCACTCTTATCAAATTTTCTATCTTGAAAAAATCAAGTTGTTTGTTGGGTTTTGATTTCTTGCAATTTCTTTCTCAATAAGCGAGTTGACTTCATCAAACAATTTTCATTTCTTGTAAAGATCAACTTGTTGTTGTGTATGATTTCTTAGAATTCCATATATCCCAAATGCATTGACCAACCTCCCTCAACCATCATCACAAACGGAAGTTTAATTTGCTCATTCTAATACGATACGAAGAAAGTATGAGAATCGAGATACCAGTCAGTGCCCCCCAACGGCCTATATAGCTGAACCAATGTACATACCAAACCGGGAAGCAGAAAGAGCGGGCCGCCATAATCTCCAGGCCAGAAGCCCGTCTCGTGCTGCAGAGTTGAGTGGAACTGTAGCCCCTTCCTCACCACGCTCCTCACTCTTCCTTCATCCAATATCTCTTCTCCTCCTCCTCCTTCCTCATCTGAACTCTTCAATTTCGCCATTACTCCTCCACCTTCATCACCTTCATCGCCATTATTACTCCCGCTGATCTCCCTCGCAAACTAGAAGTTAGCTAGAAACATGATTAACATAGCAAACCAAAAAAAAAAACAAGTGGGAATTAATTTAATTTATTGACAAGTAGTAGACCGATCATCACCTGAAGTCGCATGAGAAGGTCGGAGCTCTGTTTGACTCCAAACCGTCGGCGGTTCTGAGCAAACCGGCGTCGAGCCTCCTCGACCCGAGCCCGGTCATCGTCGTCTCCGGCGAGGTTATCTAGATCGAATTCCCAAAACTGCCGTCCGACATGGTTGTTGTACGATTTCAGCAACGGGTCCTCTTCTTCCCCTTCTGAAAGCTTCAGCCTCCACATTTTTTTTGTTGGCACTTTCGATAAGGAGAAATATATAATATGTCAATGGTTGCATCCTTATATAGAACAAGATTACATATGGCTTCTTTTTGGCTAGTAGCTTTACACGCTAGCTGCCGCTTACAGTTGGGTTGGGGACAAGAATTATATATTTGTTTTCTATGGTTGTAATAATTTGACCCTGATGTGTAAACGGTAATTTTGGAACAATCCCAATACAAAACGGTGTCCCGCTACTATCGCATCTCGTCCTATACTTGCGAGAAAGAAATGATTTGATGGATTATCATATGTACTATGTAATGTATAGCTGATGGATACACTACCAGTCTACCACTTTATTTCAGGAGTGGAGAAAGGGAAATAAAGAGAGGATGGAAAATTTTTAAGGGGAAGGGAGAAACGATAGAGGAAAATGTTATTTCATGAGGGAAAAGTGGGGAGGAAAAAAAGTATGCGGAATCATCTTCGCGTTGATACCAAAGGTACCCCAATCTGATATACTATGAAGCTTTTTCCGATATATATTATGATGTCATGTCAACTATAAATGCATATATGATGTACTTGATATGAGAGTTAGGGAATTACTGCATGCTGTCGTTAGTTCAAACTAGTCTAACTTTGTCAAATGTAGATTAATAAGCAATAAGTTTTAAATTTAGGTACCGAATCTAATGATCTATTAAGTTTATCCACTAAAATGTAAATTATCAATGGTTAAGGGTACAAACTCAAACCCATGGACTAAAAACTCAACCCGCACAAATAAATCACGAGTATGACTATACGAGTGTAAACCTATCAAACTCAACCCATGTAGCTTACATTTGAGTTTGAGCAAAATTATCATCTCTGATCATGATGCACCGTGACAGCATAATAAACTGGAATTTGTTTTATTCCCTCTCTATCCATTAGAAACCTCCAACTTCTCTCTAATTGTTCCCTTTCCTCTCTCCATTAGGGAGATGTCGGTTCACCTTCTGGTGACCCGCGACAACCAAAATTCATTTTTATTACTTTTGTTTCCTGCTTCTGATATTGCTTTTGACATTTTCTGTGTGGATCTTTGCCTCAATGTCTCCCATGGAGATGATTTCTCCGTTCTCTGGTGTCTGACTTCTCAGTTCTGGAGACTCTTTTGTCTTGTTGTCAAAGGGGTTGATGTCTTTTGACTTCAACGGTTCTTCGTCTCTTCATTCCTTCTGTCAACCTTCTTGTTTTTCACATTATGTCGTGAGATCCAGACATGTGCAGCCTCATCGGCTCGGATTCAGACCACGGAGAAATATTTATGATGAAACACACTGTCCGACTTGGCCAAATTAACACGTTGACCACTAGGAGCCTCATACTCTTGAAGAACCCCTAACAAGTTTATATCACACTCTCTTAACCAACCCCTCAGAAATAGACATGAGCCTCATAGTCTTGGTGTTAGGCTTCTGTCTCTCCACGTCTCAAACCAATGTTTTCTAATTAACTCACTTTTGGAAATACAATTCCATTTTGATCGATCGGCTTTCTAAAGTAAGTAACTTTATGTTGTTGGTTACCGCTCCATGTTTTCTTTGCAATGCATAGTAACAAAATCCGTTCTCCTTTCTTTCTTTCATGGCTCGCGTATTACCAAGAAAACATAGATATCGCGCATAAATCCGAACCTACGAGTGGTACAATGACTTTTACGAGGGTACGATATGAACACACTTAATAATTGTTACCACAAAGAAAGAAGAATCAAGTCTCTTGTCACGTTAGGTGACAGAAACACCTAATTCATGCACTTTTTCATTTATTCACGTCATAGTGTTGTTATTCACGTGAGAGTGTTGCTTATTCACGCTACCAATATTGTTTAGTCACACAACCTCGTGTTTATTCACGCATATTGTTATTTATTCACGTCATTGTAAAATTATATTTTAAACTTTGAAATATATCAAAATGGATGTCATTGTGTAAATTATGATCAATGCAACACAATTTTACTGATTAATTGAGAATTCAAATTTAATTTCATAAACAAATTATTAGGGAGGAAAAATCTGAATTTTTATTTACGTGAATAACTCATACTCTTACATGAATAAACATAGTATTACGTGAATACACACCAAATGGCGTTAATGAATAAAAAAAACGTAAATAAACTGATATTAGATGCTCTATCACCTAACGTGACAAGAGAAGTTTTCAAGAAATAAATTGGACGGTTTGTAGGGAACGAAACGGGATTAGATAGCGTCACAACCCTCATAGGGGTTGTGATTTTCACTTCCTCTTTCGCAACCATTAGATCCACCTTCTCTCTTGCTTTTTCAAATTAATGGTTTAGATTAAATGAAGGGTATTTTTGGAAGAGAAAAACTTACCACACAGGATCCTTTCTCATTTTCTATATAATCTGATTTCCAAAAAAAAAAAAACTCTTCCTCTCTCCCCTCTCTCTTCCCTCTCCCGAGAACCCTAACTGCTCTGTCTCTCCCTCCCGTTGTCGGCGCCGCCGCTGCCGCCGCCCCCTCCCGTCGCCACTGTCGTCTTTCCCTCCCGTCGCCACCGCCGCCATCTCTCCCTCCCGCCGCAGCCGTCGCGTCCTCCGCCTCCCACCATCGCAGCCCTCTCTCCTCCCTCCAACTCCTGTCACCGCCATCTCTCTCCCGCCGTCCTCCTCTGCCGCCGCCGCGAGGTAACGACCTCTCCCCTTCCTTCTCCTTTCCTCATTCCTTAATTTTTTTCCTGATCTGAGATTTTTCAGATTCCAGATCTTGTTTTTTTATGTTTTTTGCAGTGGTACTGATTTCTGTCTAATGGTACGTTACCAGTGGTAGTGGTAACGTACCAGTACTCAGTGGTAGCGGTACCAGTGAGTAGTGGTACTGATTTCTGTCTAGTGGTACGCTACCAGTGGTAGTGGTATCGTACCACTATTCACTGGTAGCGGTACCAGTGGTAGTGGTAGCGTACCACTACTCACTGGTAGCGGTACGAGTGGTATTTGTAGCGTACCACTACCACTAGTACGTACCACCACTACAAAAAAGTGTGCCATTACTGATCAGAGATTTCCGTCGATAAAGGCCAAATGTGGTCGCAAATGGGGTTTTGCGACGCCATAAGGTCGTCGCATGCCGTTCCAAATACGAGCGTCACAAAAACTTTCTTCATGACGAGCCGTCGTAAAAGGTGTTTTGCGACGGGTTGGGGTCATCTCTAATGCCTATTCAAATTGATGAACTACATAGTTTTGTTTTTGTGACGACAAAGAATCGTCAGGAAAATTAATAATCTCGTCAGTAATAAATTCTCATTGATGAAGATTGGCGATATTGTTCGTTTTTTGGCGAGACATAGTCGTCGCTATGATTAAAAAAGTCATTGGTAATACTTTTTTTATGACGTTGTATATTTAGGACGATACATATCTGTCTCTATAATTAATAAAGTCATCGGTAATAAATCTTTTGGACGACATTTAATGGTATTTGGGACAATTGAACATCGTCACAAATATTATATTACGACAAACGAGGATATCACAAATAAGGATTCCAATATTCGTAACATTGCTAAATCTTGTCAAAAAAAAAAACTATTAGCAACGATATGTAGTTGTCACTAAATTATTTGGTTTGACGAAAAAATACAATTCGCGATGATATGTTCGCGAAAAAATACTATTGGATCTTGACATAGTGTTTAATTAACTGCTTGCTCCACTTCTTCTTCTGTAAGTGAATAGTTGAATCCTGCTTCATTGAAACGTGCATATAACGCATCCAATTCTTGTTTAGGAAACTGAGAGAATGTTGTCCAAGGATCATTGATATGTTGGTGGAAGATTTTACTGATTTCATGAACAACCGATGGTGTGATTATCCTGAAAATGGAACAAGGAATTAGCAATGGACTAAGCAGGAACGTATTGAAGAAAAATAAAAGAACCAACGGACCTCCGAATTCACGGCCATGTCGCTTGCTAGAACTAAACAGCGAGATTGGATAAAATCTTGCAAGGGCCTGCGTTTGAGAGTGATTTTTTGAGCAAGAGATTCTTCAAGCCGATGCTAGACTAATTCGATGGAATGAATGGAGGGTATCATCAGTCCCACTGGATGCATCGCCGCTGGAGATGTTCGAGCCGGGGAAGAAGACGAAGAAGAAAGGAAGCAGCGGTGATTAGGGTTGAAATTTTAGGGTTAAGGAGCATACTATTACTAGCTCCGTAGGAATGAGGCTTAATTCTCATTAAGAATATAATTGGGTTTATATACGGGTGGTCTTGAACTCTTGATTATAATATAAGCTTTTTTTGACAGTCGATTATAATATCAGGTTTGTTTCTTAGTTTACATATAAAAAAAACTAAAAAGTTCAAAACAAGGCATACCAAGAAGTTATAAACTTCTAAGTATGCAAGGCGTACATGTGAGTATATTGTTTTATATTAATTAGTAATTAGCTAATCAATAAATAAATATATTTAATTATTAAGTATGTAACCTTTTTCCAACATTACTAGTTTTAATGTAGCTTAAAATGTATAAATAGGCAACATAAAATTATTTGGGCTATAAACGAACAAGGGCTTGGCCTAGTGGAAATATCACTAGCCTAGAACCTGGAGGTCCCAAGTTCGAATCCCTTAAGAAGTACCTTATTAACAATAAAATAAAATCTATATCACCCTTATAAAAAAAATTATTTGGGCTATAAGTGTTGCTTTATAATAAAGCAAATACGACACAATTTAATTGATGACTTAATTATGTTGCATAAAATACATATTAAGTAACATTTACAAAAAGTGTTGTCAGTAGTAATTTTAAGCAACACCTTTAATTAGTGTTGCAAACATAAAGTTGCCAAAAACCACTTTTCCCGTAGTGACATCTCTAAATTCACTTCTATACATATACATGTCTAGATTTACTCCTATATGCAAGTCATTTTGAAATCGTCTCTAGCACAAATGTCGTAATTACCTTGAAATATTA